TTTCCACAATGGTCGGTTAGGATCGCCCCGGGTGCCAAGCCATGCTACGCCGCCACTGTACTTACCACTTAATGACTAAATGAACATGAACATTAATATTTGCCATGCAGATGCGCCAGTGAGTACTAATCTGCGCGACTTGTGTCACCCCCTGATGCTTGGCACCCGGGGCGGACCGCCCCCACCGCCCCCCCCTTACGCCGCTACTGCTGGGACTGTGTCTGGATAACGTTTTAACAGTGCCAAATGAGTTTTATTGCGATAAGTCGTTCGTTCGAATCCCACCTTAGGCAGGTCGATTTTTGCAAGTTATTTAAAAATAATTGTCGCTTACTAGGTACTAGGTACTTATAACTTGTAATTTTATATTATTTTTAGGTCATCGTTCCTACCGCGCCCGAGTGCATGTTCGACCTGGCTGAGAACCCCGGACTTCTGACGATGCACATCTACTATGTGGACGCCCCCACACACATCAACTGTCTCTTTGACAGCGACTAACCAACTTATCTAGATCTTACTGTTGTGGAAATGCTGAGGGTATTATTAGTTTATAAAATAAATCGAAATAAATAAAAAGTGTACTTTTAATTGATATCTCAATTATTGCTCAGATGATAATTTTGATGATTCCGATTTGATTCCAAATTGATTGCTCAATTTTTTAAGTACCTAGGTAGGTACTCATAATACAAAAAGCGTGATCTAGACACAATACAAAAGACGATTGAAGGGGACGAAGGACGCGCCTCGTGGTTTTAACGGTCATATAAATACAAGGGACTGGGAGTATTACCAGTATTACTGGGAGTCACATACCATCTTTTTATTTTATTGGTTCACCAACAACTTATGCACTATAGTATAATTTGATGACTAGTAGTCAATTAGGTAAACACCTTAGTTGATCCCTATACTGCCGCGTAAACCACCATAACATTTTTGCGACATCATACATACCACAAACACGCGACGTGATTCATGCCAATATAGATATGAAATTCACGTCGCCTGTTTATGGCATATCTTAAATTTTGTTAATAAAACATCACCAGTATAAAGTTAACTAATTTATTGAGCAACTCAACTGACACCAGTGGGTGCTTTGTGAGACCTCTTCTTGACCTTCTGTTGCCTGCGTTTGAGATGGCGTTGGATTCTTCCTGCACCTTCCTTCTTCAATTCTTCATATTGCTTCACTAATGCTTCAACTCGAAGTTCCGCTGAAACAGAAAACAAAAATTAAGTTCATATTCAAAGTTTAAGCTAGCTAGACTAGAAACATTGCATAACTTTAACCCTTTCCCTACGGGTCCTTGGAAACCAATGTCGCCTCTCAATACGGGGTATTTAAGCCTATAAAATGGTTTGCTCCACTTTACATCAAGATATTTTTAAAAGTATGAGACGGTATTGAAATTGGGAATATTATATTCTGCAACTAATGTAGTTTCATAATTACAAGTGCATTTTACACTTAATTAGCAATTTTATTGTTTTTTTTGTCGTGAACCGTGATTTAGTATTAGCTTTGCCAAAACAATAATAGATGCCACCCATATTAACCCACTTGTTACGGAGTTCACTTTTTCTATCACTTACCTTAAATCAGTCATGATAAATTTATCTCAAAACAATAGCTCCAAAACTTTATGGTTATTTACGTCAGTGTACTTATAAGACTTGGACAGTACTGCGACACACCTCATCGTTCAAATGTTGCACATAAAAATTGTTTACACTACCCACATTAGTAAAAATATTTATGTAAAAACTAGCGTTCTTTTAAAAGAACGCTAGTAACAAGTGGGTTAAGAAGTGACTTTTGACTTGGCAACAATAGGTGCCTCCCGTAGGTAAGAGGTTAATACATAAAGAGAGCTTACATTTGTTCTTAAAGTGTGGTTGTCTTCCTCCTCTAAATTCTTCTTCTGTTTTAGTTCTCTGCTTCAGAGCTTCTTCCCTTTCTTGCTTCTTCTTCTTGCTCACTCTGTGCTGCTCATTAAGCCTTTGTAACAACCTACGTAGCTTCTTTTCTCTTTCCGGATCTGTAGTTTCTTTCAATTCAGCCCGAATTGCCTTGATATCATTCATTCGTATGTCTGATAAGAAATTGTAGTTTTCTGAGAATTCTTTCTTGTCAAATTGTCCACATAATGGGTCAAACCTGTAACATAATTCATTAGGTGTTGCTAGTATAACTGTTCACTAACTTGAAGAGACTAACTTACTATAAAGTTTACATAAAAAAACACAAATACAATAGTTACCTGGGGTCACGGGCCTCCTTTTTCTTTACCGGCGCACTTGTGGTGCAATCTAGCAAAAATGGCACCGGCTTTTTAGCGCTCACTTCACGTGGCCTGTTTTTGTTCTCCCTTTTGAAGACTTTAGGTTTCTTTTCAGTAACATTTTTACTTCCAAATAAAGCTTCATTGTACACTTTGGCACCAATCCGTTCTTTCAGTTTTTGCAGTTCTTCAAATGATAATGATGATAGCTCAGCTCTGATAGCAGTCTGAAATTAAAACGTAATTAAAGCAAAAGGTGCTGTGAAACTTACAGATCGAATTTTTAGGTTAGAACTCACCCTCTCATTATCGTTCGATTCTTCCAACGAATCAACTTCTTCTTCACTGCTATTCATTGCAATATTTTTGTTATGACTTTGGAAAAATAAAAGACCAGCTGGCTTTTTCACAAAATTCTACCTTTCTAGATTTACAATAAATACAAAACAAAATGTGACAGACAGAAATGACATTGACAGCATGCATGCATTGAAATGTCATCAATGTCAATTATGACATTCGTGACATCAAACATGGCACTTTAAACTTTAATAAAGATGACCCACGCTGAACTGTCCCGCGAAACTCAATGACAGGGGGGCGCTACCATCGTTCAACTATATGGTTTCCAACATGACAAAAATCTGAACCAGCGATCCGGTATTGACGGTGGCGCCCCACTGTCAATGTCATCGACAGGACAGTCCAGTATTTTGGAACTATAATTTGCCAGCAGCCCCCCTAGACAAAAATGCACTTTTTGATAAACGAATCGAACGAATCGAAAATCGAATCCGTCAAAACTTCATACAAAAAAGAGGCTTTTCGACCACTTTTCGACTGGTTTGCGATTATAATTTGCACTTTGTCTAGACCCACAGATCCCTAAATGGAAAAATAGTCAAACCCTTCATCCCCACTCCAATGTTTTTTTGACTTCTTGACTTGGCTAATTTCCGCGCAGTGTAAACGCAGCAAAACGATACCCCAAACGAGGGGGTAGAAGATGAAAAAAAATTCATCCCCACTTTACATGTAGGGAAGCTACCCTAAAATATACATACGTTTCAGCCAAATGACGTCCACCGCTGGACAAAGGCCTCCCCCAAGGTTTTCCACAATGAACGGTCCTGCGCTGCCCGCATCCAGAATTGCTAAAATCAAGTGGCAGTGGGCGGGGCACATAGCTCGTAGAGACGGTGGCCGTTGGGGCAGGAAAGTTCTCGAGTGGCGACCACGGGCTGGAAGACGTAGCGTGGGCAGGCCTCCTACTAGGTGGACCGACGATCTGGTAAAGGTCGCGGGAAGAGCCTGGAAAATTAGATACCTCCACAAAATTACAGCTCTGTTGTTCCAACAGTTTCCAAGCAAATCCTCGGACAGACAGACACACATATCGAAACTATAAGGGTTCCTTGTCAGGACTACGGAACCCTATAAAGGCTTTTCGAACATGTTTCGACTTATAAACTGTCACATTTTAACAGTGTATGTTCATGTTCGTCTCAACTTTCGCTGCGCGACCTATAATGATAAGGCTTTTTAGGTACCTGCTACGTAATCAAACTTTTTGATTCTTTGTAATTTAATTTATCATGGTGTATGATCAGTCATAAACTGTCAATGACAAATAAACTGACTGAGTCAAAATATTCAGAAAAATGTGATACATAACAAAGTGTTGTCTTGCATTTTAATTATTTACATTTTAAATTACATAATGGGCTTTGTGAAGGCACTTTCAAACACGATAAAATCGTAGATAAGTACACTAATCAAGACAACAAAACAAGGTATGGACATAGATGAATCGATTACAGTAACAAAATTGAATTTACAAGATGGACGTGCCCTTCTCATGATAGGATGGCAACCAAAGTCTTTTGAAATGTACCTGTATGTAAAAGACAGTCTTTGGAAAGGTAGATTCTCTGCCAATAGGCTAGCTGGTTTCAGTAAGAATTTACACTTGTCTGAAAATGAATATTTTGAAAATACTAAACGATGTCTTTCTCAACAAAGAGACGATTATCGCTATGAACTAAAAAGTGGTTTCTTTTATTGGAAAAGAAAATACAAAGATTCGGTTGTTATGGAAGGGTTCCTTCCAATGGAATTAGATGATTCTCCACCAAGCACCCGACCAGATTTATTTGAAATAATCCTTGTATTGAATAAGTATCTCAAAGGAAAAGTAATAGATCTTCAACGAAAGTATAAATCTATAAAGCAAGACTATGCAAAATGCCTTAAAGATACTGAAGAATTCCTAAATCTGAAGATTGAAATGGAAAAGGCACTTTGCGACAAATTTTTGAACTTAATAAGTTTAAAAAAGTCTAAAGTAGAGGCCTTGGAAAAATCTGCTACCAAGATTAAAGATGAAACAAAGCAAAACAAGTCTAAGAAAATATCATACAGTGTAAATTGATTGTGTTGCAAACATTTTTCTGAATAAATACAATTACTTATAAGACTTGATTTTTTTTACAATGAATCATTAGTATTTTTCTGTAAATTAAACCTAAAAACACCATATAGTTTTTTATGGTCATGGCCACTAGTAATCTATTAGGCTTAGGTACAAGTTAACGTTATCGTTATTTTAGATTGACATATTATATTTTAACGGACGCTGTTTAGTGTTCAGCTAGCTCATTCAGCTCAACACGTCACTTTAATAATCATTCATTCAGTCACTCACGTCACTGTCAGTCAGTCACTGTTCAACAAAGTTCAAAAACAAAATTTGTTTTGATTTGTTAAATTTTTCTTATAAATTCTCCAAAAATGGAGCCAAATATCCCAAATAATACATTGATATCAAAATTACACATCAATGATCAAGACATCTATGTACGTATACAGTGGGAGGACAATGAAAATGATTTATTTCGCATAAAAATTTTCGATGGCACCAGCAGTTGGTCTGGACGATTTTCCACTGAATTTGCTAGAAGCTGCAGGAATATGGTTGAAGAAACTGAAGATGACTATAAACGTAATGTCAGAAATTGCCTGGCCGGCACCATAGAAGGTTTTACCTTTGACTTTGTTGTTCAAGCAGAAGACCCTAGTGTTGCAAAGTTTAGTTGGAGGAAATTATTTGATGATTCGACATTGATGGCTCATGGCTCTGTTCCAGTTCATCTTGATGACAACCAGGAGTCTAAAGACAGTTTAATTGACTTCTTGTTGAGGGAGAACAAAGAACTAAGGGATGTTATTGAAGTTTACATGAGGAGAAATGATGCACTGACTGACAACCTGGAAAAATGCAAAGAAGAGTTGGAGGAATTTGTGAACATGAAGACTTCCCTAGAAACAAGTCTGTATGGTAAATTTATACAGTTACTCAACGAGAAAAAGAGGAGGATTCGGCTACTTGAAGAGAATATACAGAAATTCGAATAAATTCTTGTGTACCCTTATTATTACCTTATTTGAACCAAAATAATGTGTATCTCTAGGTGTGTGATGAATTTAAGAAATTTTTGTGATTATCTATCTTTGAATTTAATAATAATAATTAAATTGAACTAACATAATGTAATAGGTGTTTGAAATTTTGATGATTATTGTATGTTTAATTTTGTATTTGAATCTACTCAATGCGAGTGTATTGTGTAGTTGTAAGAAATTTTTGTCATAAACAAATGAAGAAATCATACTTGCATTTTATTTCTATATTCTCTGAACTTATCAGTATTTTCACTTCCTCATGGCAGAGATTAAAACTCAATAGTTAATAAATAAATAAAACTCAATAGTTATGAAACAATAAATATTTTATTCATAAAAAATTTTGCTTATAGCTTTTTATTTATTTAAGTATTATTTAGTAGCTTCTTCCGAAGAGGGTGATGTACTTAGGTTTGCTCTTGCAAGCTGGGTGGATGCACACATCTGTTGCAGAGAGCTCACGAGGCTGCTGGAACGGGATGCACAGAGACTTTGCTCCCATGGCCGGGCCTTTCACTTCAGTGGTTGGGTCATCTTCAGTTCTATTGAAGAGAAAATATTTGTTTTAGTCCTCTTGCCTAATTGAAGCAATGAGAAAAAATCGGCATTTAAAATTGTTGCTCGAGGTAAGGAGCAGCTTTGTCTAAAGAATTTGGTCATAAACATTATATGTACCTATGTACTTCAGTACTTTCACAATTAATAAAGAGGATCATATTATTATAACTACGACAAATTCACTGGCTGACAATTTAACTGGTACTTGAATGTATGGTGATGCATAATTTCCAAGCCAGTAGATTTGATACAATAGCTTTAATAAAGTTAACTTTTCAACCTAAACAACTGGGCAAATGAAGATAGCTGATAAATACCTCGCGCTGTCATTCTTGATGCTATCCTCGCAGGGCATCTCGCCGCAGAACGGCGCGAGCAGAATGTGTTTGCGCTCTAGCGCAGCTGTGAAGTCGTCCCATTTCGTCACCAGGGACAAGCGGGCGTCGCGGTCCTTTGTCGCCCTGTGCAACAAATACAATTATATTGACTCATGTACATCAACAGTATACTTGAAAAAATAGACGAAGATAGTGTTTTGTAAAAGTGTTATTAGGCAAACCACTTGGGATGTCTAGATTGAGAGAAAATTTGTTTGGCAAAATTGAAATAAGGTTTACCTAAGTTACTTGGACATAACAGTTAGCACCACTGCGAGTGACCCAGATGATAAAACTACCGTAGAGCCATTCTGGCGAGTGCAATTAAAGTCATACTACCGCTTCAGTATCCACCAGTAGGCGCCACTATCCTAGTTACAGGCTTACTTTACAGAGGCACCCTGGTTGGTTACCTACTGGTAGGTAAGTAAGCGCTAAAACGATAGGCAATAGTGGCTTAACTATAGGGTGGCAGGGCTGGCAAAATGCCACGGGGCCCCGGCCCAAGACCCTAAGGCCCCTCGCGATGCTTCAGGGCGGTGGTCCCGGGGCCCCTCTGAAAAATTACCCTAGGCCCTTGGACTTGCCACAGGCTTCGGATGGTATAGTTACGCCACTGATAGCAATAGCAAATAGGGCTGTAGACTACTATGGAATAATGGACATACTTCGCCAACATATCTTCATGAGTCTTCTCGAGCAAGGCCACCAGTTCAGCTGTGGACTGATCGCGTTTCAGCGTGAGTTTCTCGCCCGTGAGTCGTCTTACTGCCACCACCTCGCCGCGCTCTATGTCCTTGGGGCCTAGCTCTACGCGAATCGGGACGCCCTGGAAGGTGAAGATTAAAATAATATACAAAGACTTACATTAAAAACAACAAAATTGTTATAAATATTCAACTGACATGACTAAATTTGAGACAGTAACAGAAAATGAGTGCTTGATGCTGATGTAAAATATGCTTGACTGTTAGATTTGCGCCCGCCATGTTTGATACCACTAGTTTTTGAGCAGGAAAATTCAGGGAGAGAAACTTATGAATTGTGATGCTATACATACACTTTGGAATTGCAGAGTAGAGCGCATTCTTTCTTGTTCGTCGCGCTACATTCTTGTCAGAGTGCTCGTGGTCATCACATTTGGTATGGCAATAAATACAACTGTCTTTAGGGCCAAACTACGTAGTTCCTACCTTGAGCTCCCAGTGGTTGAACTTCCACCCAGGCGAGTAGTTATCCCTCGTATCTGCTTCAGCTCTGATTCCACCCGCGCAGTATTGGTCCACCAGCTGCTTGCACGAGGCGAGCAAGCTGGCTCGTTGTTCCGGCGTGCTGGAAGCGGTCACTCCGCAGGGGACGACTATGACTTGCACAATATAANCGATATAACACAAACTGTTGCTTAAGATGAGAACCTGATGCTCTTTTGTTTTTGGGAGACGAGAAAAGGAACCATTCAGTACCCGGCTGTGTTATATCAGCTGCTTGCCTTCCAAAATGGTGATGATATACACAAAAGTGTTGGCAGCAGAGTGCACAGGCCTTGCTGTATCCGGACGTGTGAATAAAACAGTCTTTAGGGTCCTACCTTGAGCTCCCAGTGGTTGAACTTCCACCCAGGCGAGTAGTTATCCCTGGTGTCTGCTTCAGCTCGGATCCCGCCCGCGCAGTATTGGTCCACCAGCTGCTTGCACGAGGCGAGCAAGCTCGTTGTTCCGGCGTGCTGGAAGCGGTCACTCCGCAGGGGACGACTATGACGCACGATATAACACAAACTGTTGCTTATAGCGAGTGCTTGAGGCTCTTTTGTTTTTGGGAGACGTGAAGAACCATTCAGTACTCAATTGTGTTATATCAGCTGCTATGTTAATACCTACCGCTCAGGTTCAGGATAAGAAGCCTTTCAAAATGGTGATGCTATGTATACACAAATTCGGCTGCATCAGAATAGAAAACAGAAGTGTTGCTGTATCCAGATGTGAGCTAAAAAAAACAGTCTTAGTCTAGTTCCTACCTTGAGCTCCCAGTGGTTGAACTTCCACCCAGGCGAGTAGTTATCCCTGGTGTCTGCTTCAGCTCGGATCCCGCCCGCGCAGTATTGTTCCACCAGCTGCTTGCACGAGGCGAGCAAGCTGGCTCGTTGTTCCGGCGTGCTGGAAGCGGTCACTCCGCAGGGGACGACTATGACTTGCACGATATAACACAAACTGTTGCTTATAGCGAGTGCTTGATGCTCTTTTGTGTTAGGGAGATGAGAAAAGGAACCATTCAGTACCCGGCAGTGTTATATCAGCTGCTTGCCTTCCAAAATGGTGATGCTATACACAAAAGTGTTGGCAGCAGAGTGCACAGGCTTTGCTGTATCGGAACGTGTCAATAAAACAGTCTTTGGGGTCCTACCTTGAGTTCCCAGTGGTTGAATTTCCACCCAGGCGAGTAGTTATCCCTAGTGTCTGCTTCAGCTCTGATTCCACCCCGCGCAGTATTGGTCCACCAGCTGCTTGCACGAGGCGAGCAAGCTGGCTCGTTGTTCCGGCGTGCTGGAGGCGGTCACTCCGCAGGGGACGACTATGACTTGCACGATATAACACAAACTGTTGCTTATAGCGAGTGCTTGATGCTCTTTTGTTTTTGCAGGACGCAAAGAGGAACCTTTCAATACTCGGCTGTGTTATATCAGCAGCCAGGTTTGATTCAGAGTAAGAAGCTTCCAAAATGGTGATGCTATACACAAATATAGTGACATCAAAGAAGAGTGCACATGCTTTTCTGTATCCGAACGTGAGCTAAAATAAAACAGTCTTAGTCTAGTTCCTACCTTGAGCTCCCAATGGTTGAACTTCCAGCCAGGCGAGTAGATATCTCCTCGGCTGTGTTATATCAGCTGCTTGCCTTCCAAAATGGTGATGCTATACAAAAATGTGTTGACAGCAGAGTGCACAGGCCTTGCTGTATCGGGACGTGTCAATAAAACAGTCTTTGGGGTCCTACCTTGAGTTCCCAGTGGTTGAATTTCCACCCAGGCGAGTAGTTATCCCTGGTGTCTGCTTCAGCTCGGATCCCGCCCGCGCAGTATTGGTCCACCAGCTGCTTGCACGAGGCGAGCAAGCTGGCTCGCTGTTCCGGCGTGCTGGAAGCGGTCACTCCGCAGGGGACGACTATGACTTGCAAGTTATAATACAAACTTGCTTATGGCGAGTGCTGATGCTCTTTTGTTTTTGGGAGACGAGAAGTTCCATTCAGTACTCAATTGTGTTATATCAGCTGCTATGTTAGATACCTACCGCTCAGGTTCAGGATAAGAAGCCTTTCAAAATGGTGATGCTATACACAAATTCGGCTGCATCAGAATTGAAAACAGAAGTGTTGCTGTATCAAACCAGACACTGGGGGACTTACCTTTAGCTCCCAATGGTTGAACTTCCACCCAGGCGAGTAGTTATCCCTGGTGTCTGCTTCAGCTCTGATTCCACCCGCGCAGTATTGGTCCACCAGCTGCTTGCACGAGGCGAGCAAGCTGGCTCGTTGTTCCGGCGTGCTGGAAGCGGTCACTCCGCAGGGGACGACTATGACTTGTACGTCTGCTACGCGTGGGGGCAGCACTAGTCCGCGGTCATCGCCGTGGACTAAGACCATTACACCTGGAGAGAAAGAATATGGTCAACATTTTCGTCAACGATTGCGCTATTACACCTGGATATTTTTGGTACATTTTCTGTCCTGAAGACCTAAGATATTAGGCTTCCTGACAGATTAAATTTTAGAACGTTCCTAAGTACAGGATGAATATTTCAGGTAAGAAAAAGCAAATCGGAAAATACAAAAAAAAAACATTAAAGACAGCAGCTGGTACATTAATGTATGTAAGCCTGAGCCCCGATTACGGTAACTTTTAACGTCTACAATCCAGACGCGTTTCTGATTCTGCAATACGATTGGTCAAAACAGCTGACGTACGCTGTACGACCAATCGTATCGCAGAATCGAGAAGCGTGTCTGGATTGTTGACGTTAAAAATTACCGTAATCGGGGGCTCTGTATACTAGGTGCTGTTCGTTCGTTTCAGCCGAATGACGTCCACTGCTGGACAAAGGCTCCCCAAGGATTTCCACAAAGACCGGTCCTGCGCCGCTCGCATCCAGGCACCTCCCGTGACCTTCACCAGATCGTCCGTCCACCTAGTAGGAGGCCTGAACCGGAAGACTAGGTGCTGATTTCAATTCAATTATTAAGTTGACCAATTACAACTCCCAAAAATTATCGATTGTTTTCCAAATGACGTTAAACTGTGGATGACAAGTCACGACACAACACCTGTGTACATTTACGCAGGTTAGCAGTTTGGGATCTATTTTGTTCGTTAAAGGTGTTCGTCTCAATTACTAAAATTGATTCGTGACACCCTTTGAATGAAATGAACTCCGTAAATATAGCTAAAGCCCGGTCTGCGAGCACGTAGAATTTTGTCCAATGACCCCAAGGTACCCATCCTTATCGCTCGCGCGTAATTATGTTGCTGTCGCGCTCGCACACTCACTGCGGGCGCCCGTCGCACAGTCGCGACAGTAATATAATTACGCGCGAGCGATAAGGATGGGTTGCTTGGGGTCATTGGACAAAATTCTACGTGCTCGCAGACCAGACTATAGAACTAAAATTATCAAATTGAACATAAACCTTACCAATAGTTCTGGTGGTGATTCCCCAAGAATTCTGGTACACGTATGCCTTCTCGTGCGTGTCGGGGTCGTCGTAGACTACCTCGAACATCTTCGAGAAGTTCTGGCCGAGGTGGTGACTTGTGGCTCCCTGTTTTTGATGCATACAAATGTTAAGCACGATGCTATACAAATAGTAAACTTGCTTCGACTAAAGTATTTCTTTTTAGCTTTATGTGAGAAAAAAATAATGCTGCATAGCTTATGAGTATGAACGATCTAGTATAAGTATTAAGTAAGAGCTACGTTTAAAATTTTACTAAAGAAGAGAAACACAGAAAAAGGCACATCCTTTCAGTCATTCGGAAGCCTTATTACTCACATATTTTCTCAATATTCATGTTAAGAGTTCAGTTACTTTCAATATGTTAAGCATTTTCTGAGGTGCAATTTTCTATTATTTTTTTATGCTAGACAAGGCAGGTATTTGACCGCAATCGCACCTGGTGTTAAGTGAGATGCAGTCTAGGATGGTACATATCTGCCCTGTAACTTCCTGTAAGTGCCTATTCACTCTCGTCTTGAAAACGGCCGGATTATAGTGTTCAGGAAATACAGCAGCAGGCAGCGAATTCCAGTACCTAGCTGTTCGTTCCTATTACTTATATACTAATTTATTTCTCCGAGCAGGATTCGATTTCCAATATACAGGGTGTTAGGTAAATGGGTATATGAGCCGACCACTAGCCCATGTTAACATGGGCATATAAATGGAATGGTGAACTTCACCATACCATTTATTTGAGGTTGAGAGCTATCTGCGCTCACCTATTGTCCGGTGAAGCTGAAAAAGCTGCTCACGGCTATCAGCATAGTCCGTCCAAAAAAAAACATACCATATTATTATGCCCATGTTAACATGGGCTAGTGTCGCCTCATATACCCATTTACCTAACAGCCTGTATACAATAGTAAACACAATTAATTCCCGCTAACCTGGATGGCTCTCCCGCTGGCTGGAATATAAGCCTCCACAGTGGTGGTGTAGTCTCCTCCAGCGAATTTCTCCTTCTCAGTCTTGCGGCCCTTGATCACCGGGATCGCTAGCAGCTCTTCGTACACCCGCGCGTACAGATCTATTAATTTAAAATTTTCAATTAGTTTTAGATTTCCAATGATTACTAAAAACTAGACTAGCTGTTGTTGTTGTTAGACCTTATTTTAGGGTTTGTCACATTGAAATCTGAATGCATTCTGCAGACAGATCAAAGTGAACGTAGCCCGTCATCATGTACGTATGAACAACATTTTCGGTCAGGGCAATCGATTATCTCGCAGCCAACGGTACTTACGCGTTTTTGACTTTTGACTTGACCGCAGAAAAACATTCTGTATGAAAAAACCTTGAGTGCAATAAAGCTTTAAATTTATAAATATCTGATGGCAAAAACAACATTTGATTTTGAATCTTAATTCACATTAATAAAATTCAAAATAAGTTGGCAACAAATCACCAGCAAGCACTATAATTGCACTGACCGAGTATCTGTAGGACCTCCTCGGCGGCCTCGGACTGCAGCCGGAAGGCGGTGTGGCCTTCCTGCCACAGGAACTCGCGTGTTCTTAGGAAGGGTTGTGGCTGTTTGAACTCCCATCTCTGTAAAACATTGCAATATTTTAACAATATTGTATGGTATTCCTGCATTGAAAAGCTGAAGGCAGTGAGCTGGTTAAATCTGTTGAAGAACCTGTAACCATTAGAGTAAACACACATTAGGACGACCTCCAGCTAAGTGAAGTCACGAAAAGTCACTTGGCAGAAACTGGACTCTTTATACATAAAACACGATAAAATAGCGCATATTAGGAGATACCTATGTTCAGCAGTGGACTGTAACTGTTATAAAATGTTAATGATGAGATTATTTTTATTTGTATTTGACGAATGTGGTTATGAGTTTATTGATACCATCAACTAATACGGGATCGGACACCGCTAATCAATTGAGATACTCTTTGTGAGCATTGAAAACGCTATTTTGTATATAGCCTGGTCCGTGAGCAAGTAGAATCCCGTCCAATGACCCCAAGCTACCCATCCCTATCGCTCGCGCGTAATTATGTCGCCGTCGCGACTGTGCGACGGGCGCCCGCAGTGAGTGTGCGAGCGCGACAGCAACATAATTACGCGCGAGTGATAGAGATGGGTAGCTTGGGGTCATTGGACGGGATTCTACGTGCTCACGGACCAGGCATTAGTACCCGAGTTTGTCCTCACTTTTAGTTAACCTGGAAGTTAACTTTACCCCTAAATGACCTGATTGTGAAATGTTACAATACCGGAAAGCAGCGTAGGGTGGGTTGATGACCTCATAAATGTAGCAGGAAGGCGTTGGATGCAGGCCGCTACCAACCGGGAGATGTGAGGAGGCCTATGTTCAGCAGTGGAAGTCCTGTGGCTGAAATGATGATGATTGTACTCACCACGACGTTGTTCCACTGGTTGAGCTTGTAGGGCAGGTAGCGGTGGCTCTGGATCTACTTGGTAGGCGGGGTGCATGATGTCTCTGAGTCTGCTATATGAGTCGCGTTATTATGTTGCTGTCGCGCTCGCACACTTACTGCGGGCGCGCGTCGCACAGTCGCGACAGCAATATAATTACGCGCGAGCGATAAGGATGGGTAGCTTGGGGTCATTGGACAAAATTCTACGTGCTCGAGACCAGACTATAATAGATGTGCACTCACCACGACGTTGTTCCACTGGTTGAGCTTGTAGGGCAGGTCGCGGTGGCTCTGGATCCACTTGGCGTAGGCGGGGTACATGACGGTCTCGGACGTGGGCCGGATGGCGATGTGCTCGGCCAGCTCCGACGAGCCCGAGTGCGTCACCCAAGCGACCTCTGGCGCGAAGTCTGCTATGTGGGTCTTCTCGCGTTCTAGAGCTGCCTATGGAATAAATTGTAATATTTAAGTTTCCAGTACACATTGTAAGTTATAAGTTGCTCGGCCGGCTCCAAGAAGCCCGAGTGAGTCTGCCATGTAAGTTTTTTCGCGGACTAAAGCTGCCAAGGGAAAGTAATTTTGATGTAAGTCAAAAGTTTATAATAGAAGAAAACAATAAGAATAATAAATCTCTGTTATCCACNTGGTAGATCTACACTCACCACCACTGGTTGAGCTTATACGGCAAGTCGCGGTGGCTCTAGAATCTGGATTCACTTGGTAGGCGACAAATGACCTCTCGGAATATGCTATGTGAGTCTTTTGGTGTTCTAGAGTTGCCTGGGGAAGCTACTTATAGATCTACAGACGGTGGCTCTGGGTCTACTTGGTAGGCGGGGTGCAGGCGGTCTTGGAGTCTGCTATGTTAGTATCTTCATGCTCTAGCTGTCTGGCGAAGCTACTCGTAGATCTACACTCACCACGACGTTGTTCCACTGGTTGAGCTTGTAGGGCAGGTCGCGGTGGCTCTAGAATCTGAATTCACTTGATAGGTGGGGTACATGACGTCTCGGAATCTGCTAAGTGTTGTCCCAAGCTAGAGCTGTGGTGCGTCTGTCACAATCTTCACCAATCATCCTCCAAGCGGGTCGAAAGCAGGCATCCCTTATCACAAGTACAAGTCTCACGACTGCTGGATGCAGGCCGCTACCATTGCCTATGTTCAGCAGTGGACGTCCTGTGGCTGAAATGATGAAGACACTTACCACTATATTGTTCCACTGGTTGAGATTGTAGGGCAGGTCGCGGTGGCTCTAGAATCTGCATTAAGTTGGTAGGCGAGATACAGACGGTTTTGGAGTCTGCTATATTAGTATCTTCATGCTCTAGTTGTCTGGGGAAGCTACTGATAGATGTACACTCACCACGACGTTGTTCCACTGGTTGAGCTTGTAGGGCAGGTCGCGGTGGCTCTGGATCCACTTGGCGTAGGCGGGGTACATGACGGTCTCGGACGTGGGCCGGATGGCGATGTGCTCGGCCAGCTCCGACGAGCCCGAGTGCGTCACCCAAGCGACCTCTGGCGCGAAGTCTGCTATGTGGGTCTTCTCGCGCTCTATGCTGCCTGGGGAAGCTACTAATACATCTACACTCACCAACACTGGTTGAACTTATGCAACAAGTTGCGGTGGCTCTAGAATCTGGATTCACTTGGTAGGCGACAAATGACCTCTCGGAATATGCTATGTGAGTCTTTTGGTGTTCTAGAGTTGCCTGGGGAAGCTACTTATAGAACTACAGACGATAGCTCAGGATTCACTTAGTAGGCGGGGTACAGACGGTCTTGGAATCTGCTTTATGAGTCTTCTCGCGTCCTAATGCTGCCTGGGGAAGCTACTAAAGCCCGGTCTCCGAGCACGTAGAATCCCGTCCAATGACCCCAAGCTACCCATCCTTATCGTTCGCGCGTAATTATGTTGCTGTCGCGCTCGCACACTCACTGCGGGNATCGCCCCGGGTGCCAAGCCATGCAGTTAACAGTTAGCACCACTGGCGAGTGATAAAACCCTACCGTGGCGGCATTCTAGTGAGTGCAAGTGCATTAAAAGTCATCCTACCGCTTCAGTATCCACCAGTAGGCGCCACTATCCTAGTTATTAGCGAGTGGACAGGCTTACTTTACAGAGGCACCCTGGTTGGTTACCTACTGGTAGGTAAGTAAGCGCTAAAACGATAGGCAATAGTGGCTTAACTATAGGGTGGCAGGGCTGGCAAAATGCCACGGGGCCCCGGCCCAAGACCCTAAGGCCCCTCGCGATGCTTCAGGGCGGTGGTCCCGGGGCCCCTCTGAAAAATTACCCTAGGCCCTTGGACTTGCCACAGGCTTCGGATGGTATAGTTACGCCACTGATAGCAATAGCAAATAGGGCTGTAGACTACTATGGAATAATGGACATACTTCGCCAACATATCTTCATGAGTCTTCTCGAGCAAGGCCACCAGTTCAGCTGTGGACTGATCGCGTTTCAGCGTGAGTTTCTCGCCCGTGAGTCGTCTTACTGCCACCACCTCGCCGCGCTCTATGTCCTTGGGGCCTAGCTCTACGCGAATCGGGACGCCCTGGAAGGTGAAGATTAAAATAATATACAAAGACTTACATTAAAAACAACAAAATTGTTATAAATATTCAACTGACATGACTAAATTTGAGACAGTAACAGAAAATGAGTGCTTGATGCTGATGTAAAATATGCTTGACTGTTAGATTTGCGCCCGCCATGTTTGATACCACTAGTTTTTGAGCAGGAAAATTCAGGGAGAGAAACTTATGAATTGTGATGCTATACATACACTTTGGAATTGCAGAGTAGAGCGCATTCTTTCTTGTTCGTCGCGCTACATTCTTGTCAGAGTGCTCGTGGTCATCACATTTGGTATGGCAATAAATACAACTGTCTTTAGGGCCAAACTACGTAGTTCCTACCTTGAGCTCCCAGTGGTTGAACTTCCACCCAGGCGAGTAGTTATCCCTTAATTACGCGCGAGCGATAAGGATGGGTAGCTTGGGGTCATTGGACAAAATTCTACGTGCTCGAGACCAGACTATAATAGATGTGCACTCACCACGACGTTGTTCCACTGGTTGAGCTTGTAGGGCAGGTCGCGGTGGCTCTGGATCCACTTGGCGTAGGCGGGGTACATGACGGTCTCGGACGTGGGCCGGATGGCGATGTGCTCGGCCAGCTCCGACGAGCCCGAGTGCGTCACCCAAGCGACCTCTGGCGCGAAGTCTGCTATGTGGGTCTTCTCGCGCTCTATGCTGCCTGGGGAAGCTACTAATACATCTACACTCACCAACACTGGTTGAACTTATGCAACAAGTTGCGGTGGCTCTAGAATCTGGATTCACTTGGTAGGCGACAAATGACCTCTCGGAATATGCTATGTGAGTCTTTTGGTGTTCTAGAGTTGCCTGGGGAAGCTACTTATAGAACTACAGACGATAGCTCAGGATTCACTTAGTAGGCGGGGTACAGACGGTCTTGGAATCTGCTTTATGAGTCTTCTCGCGTCCTAATGCTGCCTGGGGAAGCTACTAAAGCCCGGTCTCCGAGCACGTAGAATCCCGTCCAATGACCCCAAGCTACCCATCCTTATCGTTCGCGCGTAATTATGTTGCTGTCGCGCTCGCACACTCACTGCGGGCGCGCGTCGCACAGTCGCGACAGCAATTAATTACGCGCGAGCGATAAGGATGGGTAGCTTGGGGTCATTGGACAAAATTCTACGTGCTCGAGACCAGACTATAATAGATGTGCACTCACCACGACGTTGTTCCACTGGTTGAGCTTGTAGGGCAGGTCGCGGTGGCTCTGGATCCACTTGGCGTAGGCGGGGTACATGACGGTCTCGGACGTGGGCCGGATGGCGATGTGCTCGGCCAGCTCCGACGAGCCCGAGTGCGTCACCCAAGCGACCTCTGGCGCGAAGTCTGCTATGTGGGTCTTCTCGCGCTCTATGCTGCCTGGGGAAGCTACTAATACATCTACACTCACCAACACTGGTTGAACTTATGCAACAAGTTGCGGTGGCTCTAGAATCTGGATTCACTTGGTAGGCGACAAATGACGTCTCGGAATATGCTATGTGAGTCTTTTGGTGTTCTAGAGTTGCATGGGAAGCTACTTATAGATCTACAGACGGTGGCTCTGGATCTACTTGGTAGGCGGGGTACATGATGTCTCGGAGTCTGCTATATGAGTCTTCTCGCGTCCTAAAGCTGCCTGGGGAAGCTACTAAAGCCCGGTCTCCGAGCACGTAGAATTGTGTCCAATGAAGCCAAGCTACCCACCCTTATCACTCGCGCGTAATTATATTGCTGTCGCGACTGTGTGACGGGCGCAAGCAGTGAGTGTGCGAGCGCAACAGCAACATAATTACGCGCGAGCGATAAGGATGGGTAGCTTGGGGTCATTGGATGGGATTCTACGTGCTCACGGACCAGGCTTTAGTACCCGAGTTTGTCCTCACTTTTAGTTAACCTGGAAGTTAACTTTACCCCTAAATGACCTGACTGTGAAAATGTTACAATACCGGAAAGCAGCGTAGGGTGGGTTGACGACCTCATAAATGTAGCAGGAAGGCGTTGGATGCAGGCCGCTACCAACCGGGAGATGTGAGGAGGCCTATGTTCAGCAGTGGGCGTCCTGTGGCTGAAATGATGATGACACTCACCACGACGTTGTTCCACTGGTTGAGCTTGTAGGGCAGGTCGCGGTGGCTCTGGATCCACTTGGCGTAGGCGGGGTACATGACGGTCTCGGACGTGGGCCGGATGGCGATGTGCTCGGCCAGCTCCGACGAGCCCGAGTGCGTCACCCAAGCGACCTCTGGCGCGAAGTCTGCTATGTGGGTCTTCTCGCGCTCTATGCTGCCTGGGGAAGCTACTGGTAGATCTACACTCACCACCACTGGTTGAGCTTATACGGCAAGTCGCGGTGGCTCTAGAATCTGGATTCACTTGGTAGGCGACAAATGACGTCTCGGAATATGCTATGTGAGTCTTTTGGTGTTCTAGAGTTGCATGGGAAGCTACTTATAGATCTACAGACGGTGGCTCTGGATCTACTTGGTAGGCGGGGTACATGATGTCTCGGAGTCTGCTATATGAGTCTTCTCGCGTCCTAAAGCTGCCTGGGGAAGCTACTAAAGCCCGGTCTCCGAGCACGTAGAATCCCGTCCAATGACCCCAAGCTACCCATCCCTATCGCTCGCGCGTAATTATATTGCTGTCGCAACTGTGCGACGCGCGCCCGCAGTGAGTGTGCGAGCGCGACAGCAATATAATTACGCGCGAGCGATAAGGATGGGTAGCTTGGGGTCATTGGACAAAATTCTACGTGCTCGGAGACCAGACTATAATAGATGTGCACTCACCACGACGTTGTTCCACTGGTTGAGCTTGTAGGGCAGGTCGCGGTGGCTCTGGATCCACTTGGCGTAGGCGGGGTACATGACGGTCTCGGACGTGGGCCGGATGGCGATGTGCTCGGCCAGCTCCGACGAGCCCGAGTGCGTCACCCAAGCGACCTCTGGCGCGAAGTCTGCTATGTGGGTCTTCTCGCGCTCTAGAGCTGCCTATGGAAATAAATTGGAATATTTAAGTTTCCAGTACACATTGTAAGTTATAAGTTGCTCGGCCGGCTCCAAGAAGCCCGAGTGAGTCTGCCATTTAAGTTTTTTCGCGGACTAAAGCTGCCAAGGGAAAGTAATTTTGATGTAAGTCAAAAGTTTATAATAGAAGAAAACAATAAGAATAATAAATCTCTGTTATCCACCATAATGTTAAATGCAGTGTGGCCGCAAGCAAATGATAATAGTCTAACAGTTTAGGCTATTTTTATTCCCGTCAATGAAGTCACTCTCAAAACAACCACGTATCTAGCTTATCTGGAGTGGGAAAACACGGTGAGGCACTTTTTTTAATGGCTAAAGCTGCAAGAAGATCTAAATCTGAGAAAAGGGGGCGGGGCTTTTCTTGTAACATCCCTCATTGCTCGATATATCGTTTCACCCACGAAGACGCGCCCCGCAAATTTTTGGTCGAGGGAAGCGCGGAGTGCGGGGAGTTGGATCCGAGCAATCCAAACGTCATTATTGTAGTGTGCATGTGCATTCATAGATAATTTAGCATGTACCGATAACACTCAAACATTAGCGGAAGAATGGTGGGGCGCGTCTCCGTGGATGAAACGATCTATACAATCAGTTTAATGATTTTCACAGGTCCATTTAAATATCATTTTTCAACATTATACCTATCCTACCTAATTTAACTTACCTTTGACACAAATATGGGGAAGTATCCGTCCTTAACGCCCAGCTTCTTGAAGTGTCCCGTCAAGAAGTTCCTGATGGTGTCCCAAATGCTGTACGACCACGGCCGCAGGATGTAGCAGCCCGAGATGTCGTAGTAGTCGATCATCTCCGCTGGAGGAAAATGGAGTTTAATTTTAAGACCATAGGGTTCATATTACCGCTTCAGCTGAGCTCTGAATGTGTAGTGTGTACTTATGCTGACAAAGCATTATACAGGGTGGAATTTTGTAATGCCACCTGGAGGGAAAGCACTCTTAATACTGTAGATAGAAAATTTTACTGAATGAAAACATTCCTAAGAGAACTGCATGCAAAGATTTTCGAAATTTTAACCTAAATTTAAATTTAAACCTACCATACAATTTCCTGTACATAACTATAATAATTTAAGATTTCATGGTTTTCCTTTCATTTGATTTATCAAGTTTGTTAGAGAGATTTTATCTTTTTACTTAACCCTAACGATCGATGCAATAAAAATACAGGGTGCACATTTTAACAGATTTTAGTTGGTTCGAAAGCCGGGTGTGGCAAGCAAATTTTTGGAAATATTTGGATGCAGTTCTATTTCTATTCAAAAATAAAGGAATGTTTTCTTTGAGAATAAAATTATATCTACAATATTAAGAGTACTTTCCCTCCAGGTGGCATTACAAAATTCCACCCTGTATACTTTAAATGCATTGCTGTTAAGTTTATTTAATTGTTGAAGCTAAGGACAAATTATGTAATGAGAGTACACCACAGACGTGGCATACGGAAAATTAGTAGCTAATGAAGTAGTAAGTACTATAATGTCGAATCATCATAATGTACATAAAGTCTTATGTGCATAAATATAGAGTTCATATTACAGATCCTTAAAGTTCGTAAAGTACTTTGGGTAATAATTTACTTACATTTTGTGATGACTTGCGAATACCATTCCGGCAGGTCTGTGTCTTTACTCGCTTCCAGTCCTAGCCTGGTGATTTTCTTCACACCAGTCGACGATTCCTCTTTGGCGGGCTTTGGCGACTGCAAAAATAAAAAGACTTGAATGAAGAACTGCCATTTTTTTTAAATCACCGGTACTGACATATAGATGTTATTATTACATTTCAGAGGGCCACTAGTGAGCGCGTCAAAAAATTGCATTAAATGTATGACGGGTTGTACAGCGCCCCTAGCGAGAAACGTTCAAAAACTATTTTCATACATTTTTTAAATGCGCTCACTAGTAACACCATCATGACGTTTTTTTTTCTTCAGGATCATACCTACTTAAAAGTCTGGGAGTCTGTCTTGTTGGTTATCCTATTAAATAAATAAAAAAATATATAAAAAAAAACGAGTTGTTGTTGATGAACAATGATGTTACAAACCTGTTCTTTGGGCTTGGCCTCTTTCTTGGCTTCCTTCGGCTTGGCCTCCTTGGGCTTCTTGTCCTTGGGCTTGGCTTCGCGCGGTTGCGCGGGTGCCGCATATGGTGTGCCGGTCTCCGCTTGGTACTGCGCCTTGAGATCTAGCAGTTTCTTCACCTCGGCGTCTATTGAGGCCTGAAATAGAAACAATATTGAATATAGCTTATTGACGACTTAGTGGAGGCATAAATTAGGTAATATGTCAGTCCTCGTGCTAAGCTAAATATGCTTGTGTTACGAGTGGATTCACCACAATAATCCAGGGGCGGCGGGGATCGAACCCACGTTCCTCGGTTCTCGACTCGATTCTTATTATCATAGATGCAGGGCCCTGTTCATAGCGGGAGGGGACGCTGACTTGGCTAATATAGTTGTTGCATGCAATATTGTTCCTATTACCACTACACAAGACACAGTATATTTGTTACCTTATCAGCCTTCTTGGCCTTGAGGTCCCGGACTAGGTCGCCCTGCTTGGCGACCGCGGCCGCAAGTTCCGCCGCCTTTCCTTCTGGGGCGCCGTTCATTGCGGGAGACGCTGACTTCGCTCACGTCAGACTACACATCGTTATTGCAAGATACAGTACCACTACACAAGATACAGTATATTTGTTACCTTATCAGCCTTCTTGGCCCTGAGGTCCCGGGCTAGGTCGTCCTGCCTTCAAGCCGCCGTTTATTGCCTGAATTAACTCACATCAGACTACACATAGTTGTTGCAATGTTGTTCCTATTACCACTACACAAGACACAGTATATTTGTTACCTTATCAGCCTTCTTGGCCCTGAGGTCCCGGGCTAGGTCGTCCTGCCTTCAAGCCGCCGTTTATTGCCTGAATTAACTCACATCAGACTACACATAGTTGTTGCAATGTTGTTCCTATTACCACTACACAAGACACAGTATTTTTGTTACCTTATCAGCCTTCTTGGCCTTGAGGTCCCGGACTACGTCGCCCTGCTTAGCGACCTCGGCCGCCAGCGCTGTTCATTGTGGGAGGAGACGCTGACTCCACTCACATTAGTTGTTGCAATATCACACCTATTACCACTACACAAGATACATTATTTAGCTTGATATGCCGTCGTTTACCTTATCAGCTTTCTTGGCCTTGAGGTCCCGGACTAGGTCGCCCTGCTTGGCGACCGCGGCCGCTAGCTCCAACGCCTTGCCTTCTGGGGCGCCGTTCATTGCGGGTGGAGACGCTGACTTTGTTTCCTAAACATAAACACCTTGATTAGAATCCTATGGTGTACTCAGGTCACCAAAAAATAAGTAAGGACGGTCAAAATCTAAGAATCTCAGATTTTATAATAATGGTAACATAAGTAATTACCGCACATTAGTTTAGAAGAGAGCTGACCAGCCGAGTTAAACGCTATCGCGCACCTACTATGATCATCATCTTCCACCTATCTACTTTCCAAATAGGTTTAATTGAAATTAAAGTTTTTAAGGTGATTATAACGTTTCGCGTGTCAGTTATATATTAACATAATTATGATCACAACACAGATAACCCTCCTTCTGGCGCAGTCGGGTAAAAACTCGACACTCTCGCAAAACGTACCTGTGGTTTTGGTTTGTTGGCGGGCGCCGCGTTTGGCGTCCAGTCGGTGCCGGTGGCTGACTTGTATTGAGCTTTCAACGCCAGTAAGGTTTTCACCTGTACAGACAAGTTTCAAAGTTAGACGATGAACATAAAATTAGAGAAGATACTTTTTTCTCACTGATAGGAAAGAGGTTTTATCAGCATAAAAATTTAATTTATAAAAATAACGGGGCAGCATAATATTCATGTTATAGTGAAAAAAAAATTATAATCTATCAGCAGAAATGTATCATAAAACCATGGATATAACATTATTAAATCAATCAACAATTTATATCATTCAGGAAAGCACTTTAAAGTCGGCCTAGAACATCATTTCAGCTATAGGTCGTCCAAAGCTGAACATAGGCCTCCCCCAATGATTTCCATGTTGACCATGGTAGCGGCCTGCGTCACAATCACATAAACATCTAAAACCGGCCGAGTGCGTGTCAGACTCACGCACAAAGGGTTCCGTACCATTGATTTATGAAATTATTTTTTCTTCAATATTTATTATTATTTTTTTATTTTTGCATCAAAATCTTAATGCGGTTCACAGAATACATCTACCTACCAAGTTTCAACAGTATAGCTCTTATAGTTTCGGAAAAAAATGGCTGTGACATACGGACGGACAGACAGACATGACGAATCTATATAAGGGTTCGTTTTTTGCCATTTGGCTACGGAACCCTAAAAATGACCACCACATTTAACAGAACCTACCTCAGCATCAATAGTGGCCTTGTCAGCTTTCTCAGACTTGAGCTTCCTCACTTTCTCGCCCTGCGCGGCGATCTGAGAAGACACGTCGTCAGCGGGGCCTTTAGTTGGCTGCAGGGCTGGCTGGGCAGGAGACGTGCCTGGCTTCCAGTCCTGGGAATATTAATATGTTTTAATATGTTTTGTTTATAAATAAATATCCCTGGACATTTTACACTACGCTTCTAGTCCCAAACCGAGCAAAGCTTGAACTATGGGTATTATAGTCTGGTCCGTAAGCACGTAGAATTTTGTCCAATGACCTCAAGCTACCCATCCTTATCGCTCGCGCGTAACTATGTTGCTGTCGCGCTCGCACACTCACTGCGGGCGCCCGTCGCACAGTCGCGACAGCAATATAATTACTACTAAAATTAATGGGTAGCTTGGGTTCATTGGACAAAATTCTACGTGCTCACAAACCGGGCTTTAGACAACGGATATAAACATACTTAACACCTTCGCTGCCAGCCTAAAAATGGCACTATTCCGTTCGGGCCATGGGGGACAATGATGGGCGACACTTTAACTTTCCGTTCGGGCCGCGTCGGACAATGATGACCGCGAGTCAGATCTATGTTCAAACCTCTGTATTGAGCCGATGGACAGTATTTCTTCAATAATTCTCATATAAGCTGACCCGCGCGGCTCCCAAGATTAGTGTACGTCACTTGGTTCTCAAGTAAAGCTCGGACTTAGAAAAAAAAATGTGGATAATGGTAGCGCAATGAAACATGGTAATTACACAATGCATTTTTGCAAATGTATCAACTTTTTAGCAAGATAATAACGGTTTATTAATTAAAACATATCGTTTACTTATTTTACATAATTTATATTATGCAGGACAATAAAAAAAATCTGTTTCATTGTCGAACAACCACTTTGTATGAAGGATTGGTACAGGTATTAAGTTCTTTGTACAGCTACAAAACTTATGCCATTTAAAACCTTATTAGTGGCATAAATGATTGTACTTATTAGATACTTACACCTAGCAGGATTGTCGAGAAAAATAGATTTGTTTAAAGTATGAAAAAAAAAATTTTCTCTTATCGATACTCTATTCTAAAACTTTTTTAATATTCATGTAGATCAAACTATTGGCATGTTAAATCAGCTATGTCATTATAATTATTTTTAATTTTAAGTATATTTTTAAATATTATTTGTAGATATACTGACAATTCAATATTGTTTTGAAAAAAGAACCGATCGAAAGTGACACTACAGTGATGGATGAAAAATTCAAAATACAGTCAAAAAATTTCTAAAACGTCAAGTCGCAAAAATTGGATTAATAACCCAGTTGTTAGTAGCACCTTTCTGTAAATTTTATAATTATATGGCTGTCCAACGAGGCAAAAATCGGAACTAATAGTTCAGTATTGATAGTAGCGCCTTCCTGACAATGCCATAGCTGGGACGGCTCAGTTTTGGACAACTTTTATACGAATTATTGATAAATTCAATTTTTTAAATAAAATTTAAACCTTTTCTAATTAAAACAATTTGAATAAATTCACGTTTAGCGTTCCTTTTACGGTATCATCGATTACTTTATTATTATTTTTAATCACTATTTACGACTTATCCTGCTAGTTTAGTTTCTCATTTTATACCTTATAATATTCCTATTTATGCGTAATATAATATATCAAAAACCTACCAATGTACAACTCTTTATTTTTTGGTTGTTCTCCTTTTTTTTTTTTGGATGCGAGCGGGGATGGTCGACAACATGNACGGGTGTTGGTACCGGAAAGCAGCGTAGGGTGGGTTGACGACCTCATAAATGTAGCAGGAAGGCGTTGGATGCAGGCCGCTACCAACCGGGCGATGTAGTGCCGGGAGGCCTATATTCAGCAGTGGACGTCCTGTGGCTGAAATGATGATGACACTTACCTGGAACACTTACTACACGAATCTGGATTCACTTGGTAGGCAACATATGACGTCTCGGAATCTGCTATGTGAGTCTTTTGGTGTTCTAGAGTTGCCTGGGGAAGCTACTTATAGATCTACAGACGGTGGCTCAGGATCCACTTAGTAGGCGGGGTACAGACGGTCTTGGAGTCTGCTATATGAGTCTTTTCTCGCTCTATGCTGCCTGGGAAAGCTACTGGTAGATCTGCACTCACCACGACGTTGTTCCACTGGTTGAGCTTGTAGGGCAGGTCGCGGTGGCTTTGGATCTACTTGGTAGGCGGGATACAGGCGGTCTTGGAATCTGCTTTATGAGTCTTCTCGCGTCCTAATGCTGCCTGGGGAAGCTACTAAAGCCCGGTCTCCGAGCACGTAGAATTTTGTCCAATGACCCCAAGCTACCCATCCTTATCGCTCGCGCGTAATTATGTTGCTGTCGCGCTCGCACACTCACTGCTTGCGCCCGTCACGCAGTCGAGACAGCAATATAATTACGCGCGAACGATAAGATGGGTAGCTTGGGGTGATTGGACAAAATTCTACGTGCTCGGAGACCAGACTATAATAGATGTACACTCACCACGACGTTGTTCCACTGGTTGAGCTTGTAGGGCAGGTCGCGGTGGCTCTGGATCCACTTGGCGTAGGCGGGGTACATGACGGTCTCGGACGTGGGCCGGATGGCGATGTGCTCGGCCAGCTCCGACGAGCCCGAGTGCGTCACCCAAGCGACCTCTGGCGCGAAGTCTGCTATGTGAGTCTTCTCTCGCTCTATGCTGCCTGGGGAAGCTACTGATACATCTACACTCACCAACACTGGTTGAGCTTATGCAGCAAGTCGCGGTGGCTCTCGAATCTGGATTCACTTGGTAGGCGACAAATGACGTCTCGGAATATGCTATGTGAGTCTTTTGGTGTTCTAGAGTTGCCTGGGGAAGCTACTTATAGATCTACAGACGGTGGCTCTGGATTCACTTGGTAGGCGGGGTACATGATGTCTCGGAGTCTGCTATATGAGTCTTCTCGCGTCCTAATGCTGCCTGGGGAAGCTACTAAAGCCCGGTCTCCGAGCACGTAGAATTTTGTCCAATGACCCCAAGCTACCCATCCTTATCGCTCGCGCGTAATTATATTGCTGTCGCGACTGTGCGACGCGCGCCCGCAGCGAGTGTGCGAGCGCGACAGCAACATAATTACGCGCGAGCGATAAGGATGGGTAGCTTGGGGTCAATGGATGGGATTCTACGTGCTCACGGACCAGGCTTTAGATGTACACTCACCACGACGTTGTTCCAATGGTTGAGCTTGTAGGGCAGGTCGCGGTGGCCCTGGAATCTGAATTCACTTGGTAGGCGGGGTACGGATGGTCTTGGAATCTGCTATGTTAGTATCTTCGTGCTCGAGCTGTCTGAAGAAGCTCGCCCTATGCTGCCTAGGGGAGCTACTGATAGATCTGCACCCACCACGACGTTGTTCCACTGGTTGAGCTTGTAGGGCAGGTCGCGGTGGCTCTGGATCCACTTGGCGTAGGCGGGGTACATGACGGTCTCGGACGTGGGCCGGATGGCGATGTGCTCGGCCAGCTCCGACGAGCCCGAGTGCGTCACCCAAGCGACCTCTGGCGCGAAGTCTGCTATGTGGGTCTTCTCGCGCTCTATGCTGCCTGGGGAAGCTACTGATACATCTACACTCACCACCACTGGTTGAGCTTATGCGGCAAGTCGCGGTGGCTCTAGAATCTGGATTCACTTGGTAGGCGACAAATGACCTCTCGGAATATGCTATGTGAGTCTTTTGGTGTTTTGAGTTGCCTGGGGAAGCTACTTATAGATCTACAGACGATAGCTCAGGATCCACTTGGTAGGCGGGGTACAGACGGTCTTGGAATCTGCTATGTTAGTCTTCTCTCGCTCTATGCTGCCTGGGGAAGCTACTAAAGCCCGGTCTCCGAGCACGTAGAATTTTGTCCAATGACCCCAAGCTACCCATCCTTATCGCTCGCGCGTCTACGTGCTCGAGACCAGACTATAATAGATGTGCACTCACCACGACGTTGTTCCACTGGTTGAGCTTGTAGGGCAGGTCGTGGTGGCTCTAGAATCTGCATTAAGTTGGTAGGCGAGATACAGACGGTTTTGGAGTCTGCTATATTAGTATCTTCATGCTCTAGCTGTCTGGGGAAGCTACTGATAGATGTGCACTCACCACGACGTTGTTCCACTGGTTGAGCTTGTAGGGCAGGTCGCGGTGGCTCTGGATCCACTTGGCGTAGGCGGGGTACATGACGGTCTCGGACGTGGGCCGGATGGCGATGTGCTCGGCCAGCTCCGACGAGCCCGAGTGCGTCACCCAAGCGACCTCTGGCGCGAAGTCCGCTATGTGGGTCTTCTCGCGTTCTAGAGCTGCCTATGGAATAAATTGTAATATTTAAGTTTCCAGTACACATTGTAAGTTATAAGTTGCTCGGCCGGCTCCAAGAAGCCCGAGTGAGTCTGCCATGTAAGTTTTTTCGCGGACTAAAGCTGCCAAGGGAAAGTAATTTTGATGTAAGTCAAAAGTTTATAATAGAAGAAAACAATAAGAATAATAAATCTCTGTTATCCACCATAATGTTAAATGCAGTGTGGCCGCAAGCAAATGATAATAGCCTAACAGTTTTAGGCTATTTTTATTCCCGTCAATGAAGTCACTCTCAAAACAACCACGTATCTAGCTTATCTGGAGTGGGAAAACACGGTAAGGTATTTTAATGGCAAAAGCTGCAAGAAGATCTAAATCTGAGAAAAGGGGGCGGGGCTTTCCTTGTAACATCATAAAGTAGGAATATATTCTTTTCACCCACGAAGACGCGCCCCGCCAATTTTTGGTCGAGGGAAGCGCGGAGTGCGGGGAGTTGGATCCGAGCAATCCAAGTGTCATTATTGTAGTGTGCGTGTGCATTCATAGATAATTTAACGTGTACCGATAACACTCAAACATTAGCGGAAGAATGGTGGGGCGCGTCTCCGTGGATGAAACGATCTATACAATCAGTTTAATGACTTTCACAGGTCCATTCAAATATCATTTTTCAACATTATACCTATCCTACCTAATTTAACTTACCTTTGACACAAATATGGGGAAGTAGCCGTCCTTAACGCCCAGCTTCTTGAAGTGTCCCGTCAAGAAGTTCCTGATGGTGTCCCATATGCTGTACGACCACGGCCGCAGGATGTAGCAGCCGGAGATGTCGTAGTAGTCGATCATCTCCGCTGGAGGAAAATGGAGTTTAACCCACTTTATACTACCGTCGTTTTAAAACAACACATAGAAACAAAAAATTTTGGAGAATATGTAGGTACTTTTGTTTTTATTTATTTATGTAACTTGACAGGTAAAGGTTTTGTCGACTTAGTCTATGTGGCAAATCTTAATAATTCATTAGGTTTTCCATAATATTTACAAGTTTATTTAGCCATTTTCAACGATGAGTTTTCAAGATAAGTAATAATAATAAGTTGCACACTTTATTGAGATAGTTTATATAAAACGTGATGTTAGTATCATAAACTACATATAAACATCAAATCACACTGATTCAGAACCTTTGGTAAGAAGTTATAACGAAAAATAACTGGTGTTGTTTATAAACGCCAGCAGTAAAATGTACTACTTTATCTTTCAAGACATTTTTATTTTATTTTTTACTGTAGGACACATTATCGGGCTCTGGAGCTTCATGATTTCGTCGAGGAGCTGGAAAATTACGATAATTTTCCAGTGCTAGATTGTCTGATGATTATTGATACAGTAGTTAATACATAGATATAAACAATAACAACACAACTAGAATAAAAACAATTACTGAGCAGTGGCTCAGTGGGGCAGTGGCCCCAACAGGATTATTTCACTATGTTCGCCTCGGTGATATCACCTGGATGAAGAAAGTGTTATTTTTCGTGTCCTCATTTCACCTCAGAACCATTTTCACCCAGATGATATTATCCATGTGACTTGATTTGACTAAAGCAGTCGCTTTTGTTCATCTATTTTTAGGGATGAATTCACCCAGGTTTTACGCATTTGTTTACCAGGGTGAATTAATTTCTAGGTGAACAAAGGTTCTAGGTGATCGTTTTAGTCGACGTAGTCCACCTGAAAAATGAAGCAGGTGTAATGGTTCCGAGGTGAGATGAGCACACTAAAAAGACAAATAAATATTTCTATTTCACTTTCTTCACCCAAGTGAATAAAGTGGAATGACCCCCCAATAGGCTCCCCGCTTAGCATTTATCCTGACATTCTCGTAAGGGCATGTCAAGAAGCTGGTCTTCCTCGGACGCTCTTGCTTTTGGCATCGCACATCCTTTCGAAGAGACATCGACTCGAGTTTGCTATCCCTCAAAAGGGTGCGCAATGCAGGGAATTACCGTGGTACCTATCTTAAGTTATGCATTTTTACAATTAAATAAACAAAAGATAATACCAAAAGTAATATTACTCAATTTTGTCACAAAAGCCAAATAAAATAAAGGATGGTTTTCTTTATGCAATGCATACCTCATAGTAGTGCATTTTACTACTGTTGTTTATAAACGACACCGCTTTTCCGAATTTCCACGAGGGAAATATTTTTTTTCTTATTTTTCCCATGTTATTTGTCAGTTTTTAAGCCTCATATACAAAGATCATTAAGTTTGGAGATAGTAAAATGTTTCAGGAGTATCTGGGTTAATTGGAGCATAGGGTTCATATTACCGCTCAAACTGAGATCTGAATGTGTACTTATGCTGACAAAGCATTATATACTTTAAATGCATTGCTGTTAAGTTTATTTAATTGTTGAAGCTAAGGATAAACTATGGAATGAGTGTACGCAGACGTGGCATACGGAAAATTAGTAGCTAATGAAGTAGTAAGTAGGTACTATAATGTCGAATTATCATAATGAGACTTTATGTGCATAAATATAGAGTTCATATTACAGATCCTTAAAGTTCGTAAAGTACTTTGGGTAATAATTTACTTACATTTTGTGATGACTTGCGAATACCATTCCGGCAGGTCTGTGTCTTTACTCGCTTCCAGTCCTAGCCTGGTGATTTTCTTCACACCAGTCGACGATTCCTCTTTGGCGGGCTTTGGCGACTGCAAAAATAATACAGTTCATGAAAAGTGTTAATGAAGAACTGAATTTTGTTTTAAATCACCGGTACTAAGACATGAATAATTACGTTAATACGTGGTGTAAAAACATACTTTATCAAGAAGTTGACTGCAACTTTGAGTTGAGGTTTTTATACACCTGTAACACTTGCATAAAAAACCATCATAACGACTTTTTTTTCTTCAGGATCATACCTGGAAGACTCATGGTTTTGGAGAATTAAAGGTCTAACTTAAAACGGATTTTCGCGGTTTTTTTTACCTAATGATGATGATGTTTTACAAATGATATACAATGATGTTACAAACCTGTTCTTTGGGCTTGGCCTCCTTCTTGGCTTCCTTCGGTTTGGCCTCCTTGGGCTTCTTGTCCTTGGGCTTGGCTTCGCGCGGTTGCGTGGGCGCCGCATATGGCGTGCCGGTCTCCGTTTGGTACTGCGCCTTGAGATCTAGCAGTTTCTTCACCTCGGCGTCTATTGAAGCCTGAAATAGAAACAATATTGAATATAGCTTATTGACGACTTAGTGGAGGCATAAATTAGGTAATATGTCAGTCCTCATGCTAAGCTAAATATGCTTGTGTTACGAGTGGATTCACCACAATAATCCAGGGGCGGCGGGGATCGAAGCTACGTTCCTCGGTTCTCGACTCGATTCTTATTATCATAGATGCAGGGCCCTGTTCATAGCGGGAGGGGACGCTGACTTCACTCACATAGTTGTTGCAATATTGTTACTATTACCACTACACAAGATACAGTATATTTGTTACCTTATCAGCCTTCTTGGCCTTGAGGTCCCGGACTAGGTCGCCCTGCTTGGCGACCGCGGCCGCTAGCTCCGACGCCTTGCCTTCTGGGGCGCCGTTCATTGCGGGTGGAGACGCTGACTTTGTTTCCTAAACATAAACGAATGAGGAATGGTATACATCAGGAGTGGGAAAAACCGGTGAATAAAAAAGGTAATAGTCTCGGACTTTATTTCAGAATGCATAAATTCTACAGAAGATAACAACATAAAAATCTCGACACTCTTATAGCCTCTAAAACAGTGTTTTTCAACCTTTTTAATGATAATAGGAGAATAGGCCCCTAGTATAAAAAAAATTTTGGCAACCCCCCGACCGTTCCCTTATTTTTCTTGCATTTTATCATGTTACAAAGATGTTTGTAGGGACCGAATACTTCAATCCATACAACATTTTAATGCATTTGCATAATTAGATTTCGGATAAATCTGCCTTTATAACTAATGTTTTTTTACTGAGGTACTTTTTACGACCTCTCGCGACCCCCCTATAGAGGCTTCGCGACCACCCAGGGGGTCGCGACCCAGAGGTTGAAAAGCACTGCTCTAAAACATTACACTATGGTCAATGTTATAAACGATAAGGTAAAATACTCAGTCAAAAGGCATACATATTATATTATACGATTTCGCTTATTGGTAATTAAAATACTTAATATTATGATTGCAGAACTTACTTGAGGTTTGGGTTTGTTGGCGGGCGCCGCGTTTAGCGTCCAGTCGGTGCCGGTGGCTGACTTGTACTGAGCTTTCAACGCCAGTAAGGTTTTCACCTGTCCAAAATCAAATGATAAACATAATATGAGATAATATAGTAGGTAATTTTTGTGATGAACCTTCTTATGATACCAGGGGTGCATAAGAAAGTAAGTACCTACTATAATTTAGGAGTGGGCCTACATCATATCAATAAGAGTTACGACATTCACTTAAAGGGGTGATAAAAGACCACAAGATTAAAGAAAAAAGTCGCATCTGTTCACCTGGTTGAAATAATTCGTAGTGAACAAAGGTGACAAAGGCGACCGCTTTAGTCGACTTAATTCCCTGGGTGAAATGGTTCCAAGTTATGAGGACACAAAAAATCCACTTTCTTCCTTCACCCAGTTGAACAAAGTGGAATAACCAAGATAAACATCTAAAAACGACCTCAATATTTAACAGAACCTACCTCAGCATCAATGGTGGCCTTGTCAGCTTTCTCAGCCTTGAGCTTCCTCACTTTCTCGCCCTGCGCGGCGATCTGAGAAGACACGTCGTCAGCGGGGCCTTTAGCTGGCTGCAGGGCTGGCTGGGCAGAAGACGTGCCTGGCTTCCAGTCCTGGGAATATTAATATGTTTTAATATGTTTTGTTTATAAATAAATATCCCTGGACATTTTACACTACGCTTCTAGTCCCAAACTAAGCAAAGCTTGTACTATGGGTACTATAGTCTGGTCCGTAAGCACGTAGAATTTTGTCCAATGACCTCAAGCTACCCATCCTTATCGCTCGCGCGTAACTATGTTGCCGACGAAAAATCGATGGTCTGCGCCTAGGCTTAATGTAAAATCGTCAATTTTGTTTCCTAATTAGCANAAATACTTTTTTTGTAAATACATACATACATATTATACATAGTAACACCCAGCCCCATCACAGAAATTATAATTCATCATTTCAATTTCTGCCCGGCCGGGAATCGAGCCGGGACCTCTCGGAATAGTAATCCGTTCCGAACCACTACACTAAACGGCCGACGACGGGAATATAAATAAGATTCTAAGATTTCCTCATCTTCCTCGGCCCTTCAATGATGAGGATCGCGACCACATATAGTGTTCCTCCACAGACTTCATAGGCTATAAGCGTTATAGTAAATTAAATTTTATTAATGACCAAGACTGCTATCCCTGAATGAATGCACCAAGCTAACCACCAACAGACAAAGATGGCGAGACATCGTAAGGCGAGCAACATCCGCCCACAACAATCCACATTCCTGACGACCACGACCCTCTGTCAAGAGTGGAACGACCGTGAAGAAGAAGAAATTAAAATAATTCGAAAAAGAGCAGAGGGAGTCCAACGCGTCAGCGTCATTATAAGACTAGGCGCAGACCACCGATTTTTAGTTGGCCGATAGTTGAGCCCGATTTTAAATTATATGAAGAATCGGCCAAATAAAATCGGCGTAATGTGCGCACTTCCATACATGCCCACACTGATCAACTGCTCGACTAAACTATCGGCCGACGAAAAATCGATGGTCTGCGCCTAGGCTTAATGTAAAATCGTCAATTTTGTTTCCAAATTAGCACTTTTTACAATTACATTAGATGCCCCAGTGATTTGCTTGATGTGCTGTTTTTTTACAGTGTAGGTACTCTAAAAATGAATAAGAGGTGTTAAATTACATAAGCGAGCCGGTTATTTGATACCAGTACAACTCTGCGGTGATATATTATTCGTGGTAAAGGTCAATGACAAGGAAAGCATATTTTAAGGATTTGCCAATAAACAAATACTGCCAAATCCTAAGTAGCAGAAGTGTTCATTTGCATACTAGACTACTAGTTTTCACAAAGAAATAGTTTTCACCACAATGCTCTCAGCGATATTTAAAGTGAAAACCCTTAAAAAAAAATTCCCGCCTGATGCAGTGCCAACAGATTAATTAATTACTTAACAATAACAAAAATCACAACCAATTATTTCACACATTCACAAAAATATTCCACACAAGTACCTTCTCACACGAAAATTGTACAAAAGGCCATCAAAAGAAACGCACGCCTCTTACTGACTTCACATAAAACGTAATATTTGTCCAGCTGTTGCGCTCGCCACATAATCTATACGTGGACTGGAAAACTAGTGATGTATAGAAACGTAAAATAAAATTAGGCCATCTCTCTCAATATTATAGGAACCACTATTAAATGTGAAATAAGAGCTAGCTAATACATAAAATCGCTTTGAATTAACACTTAACGCCGATAAGATTTGCTGCGATAATGTTAATAACAGTACGTTTTATTATGTGTTGATATATTGATAATGAATACAATTGTTAAGAAATAATATAAGTAGATATTTTTTTAAATTATTTTCAGAAAATATGGAATTATTGATACGGTTAATATGAGGCAAATAAAATGAAGATGCTTCTTGCAGTTGCTAAATAATATAATCCCGCAGTTATGTACTGAAAATCTAAAAAGTATGTTTGATTTCATTTTCCCATCACTAATTGTGACGTCATGATTTTCACTAACTAACTTATTGTTCAACATTCTTTATTGCACTTAAATAATATTTAAAAGATAAAGATTATGAATTCCGCTACCAAAATAAATAAGTCAGTGACCTATATTAGTTCTGATTTGGTCAATATTTGCCGAATGTCCTACATACATAGTAACAACTATCCTCTAGCTAGGTTATCTGGAAGAGATCGTTTTATAGCTATAAGACCGCCTAAATTGTGCTGTATCTTTTGTATAATTCTTTCTTTTTCTTTTCATGTCTTGTCTAATGTACAATAAAGTGTGTACTAGGTATCTATAATAATAGGACAGCCAAGTACTGAAATGCAATAGTTTAGTCAGTACATAGGCCCTTTCCAGGGAACTTTTACACGTTTCAAATATAGCTTGCCCTGAAATATAACTAACCTGTCCCGTAGCCGCCTTGTACTTGGCCTTCAGTTCCAGCAAGGCCTTGACGGCTTCGTCGACCTTGGCCTTCTCCGCCTTGGCAGCCTTGAGCGAGCGGACCAAGTCACCTTGTTTGGTGATCTGCTGGTCGAGGTTCTTGGCGTCTCCAGCAGATGACGGTGCGGCCGCTAGTGCAGGAGTTGCACCAGGTTTCCAGTCCTGAGATATTGAGCTTAAGCTACAGATACGGCTAATAAATGATTCTGAATATTTTAAAACAACAGAGAAAGACATAAGTTTCTAGTAAGGATTTTCAGCGCTAGCAACCGGCCTTTGTGGTAATCATTGGGGGAGATCTATATTCAGCAGTGGACGTCCTATGGCTGAAATGATGATGATAATTTTCAATCGATACAGAAACATGATTTTCATGGTATAAATTCGCTTAACTAAAATATCTTTGTGAAGAAATTACACTTCATTGAGTGGCGAAACGCGCTACGTTATGCAAAAGGATTCACGATAATGTAGCCGATGTGATTTATAAGAGTAGGCGCACACCGTTGATTTTTCGTCGGCCGATAGTTTAGTCGGGCAGTTGATCAGTATGGGCATGTATGGGAGTGCGCACACTACGCCGATTCGATTTGGCCGATTCTTCATACAAATTAAAATCGGGCACAACTATCGGCCAACTAAAAATCAACGGTGTGCGCCTACTCTTAGAAGAATAATTAATAGAGACAAAAGTTGACTTTGACTTACCTGGCCCGTAGCAGCCTTGTACTTGGCCTTCAGTTCCAACAAGGCCTTGACCGCTTCGTCGACCTTGGCCTTCTCAGCCTTGGCAGCCTTGAGCGAGCGGACGAGGTCGCCTTGCTTGGAGATCTCCTGGTCTAAGGACGCTGCGTCACCACCCGATTTGGCGGCCGCGACCGGCGCGGGAGTTGACGATGGTTTCCAATCCTTAAAATTAAGAATAGATGTTATTCTCGAGGAGATTAAAATATTATGNTGTTTCTATTTGTTGCAATTTTTTTGTTAATTTAATAATTTTTCGATGTGAAATTGCAAAACATGTGACGTCACACTAGGGAGGGGGGGGGGGGTCTCAGAAATGTGACCACCTGTGACTAGAGATGGGTTTTCACCCGGGTAAAAACCCACATGAGGGTAAAAACCCAATAAAAACCCGTTTCATTCCACCCGTGGGTGTTTACACCGGGTGAAAACAAATAATTTTATAATTATTTCAATTGGTATCNATTTATTTCTTTTTATTTTCATGTCTTGTCTGATGTACAATAAAGTGTGTTCTATCTATAATAATAGTACAGCCAAGTACTGAAATGAAATTAAATAGTTTAGTCAGTACATAGGCCCTTTCCATGGCACTTATACACGTCCCACCCAAATATAGCTTGCCCTAAAATATATTATATAACTAACCTGTCCCGTAGCCGCCTTGTACTTGGCCTTCAGTTCCAACAAGGCCTTGACCGCTTCGTCGACCTTGGCCTTCTCAGCCTTGGCAGCCTTAAGCGAGCGGACCAGGTCGCCTTGCTTGGTTATCTGCTGGTCGAGGTCTTTGCCGTCTCCGGCTGGCGATGATGCCGCCGCTGGTGCAGGAGTCACACCAGGTTTCCAGTCCTGAGATATTGAGCTTAAGCTACAGATACGGCTGATAAATGATTCTGAATATTTTAAAACAACAGAGAAAGACATAAGTTTCTAGTAAGGATTTTCAGCGCTAGCAACCGGCCTTTGTGGAAATCATTGGGGGAGATCTATATTCAACAGTGGACGTCCTAATGGCTGTAATGATGATGATTATTTTCAATCGATAAAGAAATATGATTTTCATGGTATAAATTCACTTAACCAAAATATCTTTGTGAAGAAATTACACTTCACTGAGTGGCGAAACGCGCTACGTCATGCATTAACGAATTCATGGTGTGGCCAATCTGATTTATAAGAAAGAGAATTAATAGAACACAAAAGTTGACTTAAGACTTACCTGGCCCGTAGCCGCCTTGTACTTGGCCTTCAGTTCCAACAAGGCCTTGACCGCTTCGTCGACCTTGGCCTTCTCAGCCTTGGCAGCCTTGAGCGAGCGGACCAGGTCGCCTTGCTTGGTGATCTCCTGGTCTAAGGACGCTGCGTCGCCTCCCGATTTGGCGGCCGCGACCGGCGCGGGAGTTGACGATGGTTTCCAATCCTTAAAATTAAGAATAGATGTTATTCTCGAGGAGATTAAAATATTATGTACAGAAACTGCGTTAAAACGCAAAAGTAAACTATGTGAGAACTAAAATGACTACTTAAAGGCTGTATAATTTGTGCCCATTTAAGAGTTATTATAAGTTCTGGAGAAGCGTTGTTAACTCCAATAAACAGCTTCCTTGTACAGCTTTCAGTATCCAGGTAAACCGTTAATGGCTGCTGTAAACCTTTTTGTGCTACTTGGGTGATTATGGAAACTAGCTATTACCTGCGTAACATATGCAAATATATTGTAAAATTGCATCAAAATCTGTACAGTAGTTTTTGCGTGAAAGAGTGAGAAACATCCATCCCCACATTTTTGCGCCAACAAACATCATCCATCAAATTCTTTATTGCTATTCCACACGTTGAATAGGATCTTCAAAATACAAAAATCTAATAGGACAGTAAAACGACCTCATAAATTCATCAATCCTCATAAATTCGGTCAAGTGCCAACCAGATGTGCGACTACCTGCTGGGCCATAGGTTTCAATAAGTATGGTGTGCGCACAAAAAATACACAATATTCTCTAAAGTACCATCCACTGCATCTCACTTAACATCAGATGCGATTGCGGTCAAATACCGGTCTTGATCTGCATATAAAAAAAAAAACAAAAAGTAATTTAACATTGCAACTTAGCGCTAACGAACCTTCCCAGTATCAGCCTTGTACTTGGCCTTGAGCTCTTGAGCAAGTCGATCTTGTCCTTGTCAGCCTTGGCGGCCTTGAGCAGTCTAATCCGATCTCCTTGCTTGGACATCTCGTCCAGGAATAAAGCGTAAATATCTACTAACCTTCCCAGTAGCAGCCTTGTACTTGGCCTTAAGCTCCAGCAAGTATTTGACGGCCAAGTCGATCTTGTCCTTGTCAGCCTTGGCAGACTTGAGCAGTCTAATCCGGTCTCTTTCTTTGGAGATCTCCGCGTCCAGGAATGAAGCATAAATATCTACTAACTTTCCCAGTAGCAGCCTTGTACTTGGTCTTAAGCTCCAGCAAGTATTTNATCTATGGCGACTCACAGGCTTTAAACTATCGCTCGGCCTTCGGCCTCGCCTTTTTCTACGTTGGCTAAGCCCCCCTGCATACAATTTGTATGGAGAATTTAGTCCCTTTAGGAAAACGGGTGAACGCTTGGCGGCCATCTTGGATTTCCAAAATTTTGCATTTTTGCCTTAATCTGGACCATTTTCCGCGCCGAACCCCATTTTTACTTTTTTTCTAACTTAACCCGATCCCGTGAAACAATTCCTTAAAATCACCCTTGTCCCAAAACTTTGAGTTCCCCTAACTGCCAGTGTTGCCAGGTGATCGAGTTGAAAATGGTCAAATGTCATTAGTTTGACCTATTTGCAGGAGGCGTCATCCAAATTTCCGACCGGAAGTCGTTATTTCCATTTTTTACATTTTTTGACCAAAACTCTCAAAGTATGGCAACACTGGGAATCATTGTTTTTCCAAACAATACTCCTTAACAAACTACGTAATCGCTCCATACTACTCGACTTTCCCAAATGTTGCCAACTGCCCGAAAATTGCATTTGAAAAATCGAAAATCTGAAACTTTTTACAAAATGGCCGCCCACTCAGCCGCCATCTTGATTTTTTGACATTTCGGATTTTTCCCATAGTCTAGGTCGTATAACCGACCGAACGCTATTTTCAGATTTTCCCTGCCATATCTCCTTCTGTCCGTCCTTAACTTTAAAGACACCCATGTCGAAAAAAATACTTTTCCCCCTAGCTCCCAGTGTTGCCAGTGATCAAGATGAAAATGGTCAAATGTCATTTGCACGACCCCTTTGCAGGAGGCGTCATCCAAATTTTTGACCGGAAGTCGTTATTTCTACTTTCGACATTTTTGGACCAAATCTCCTAAAGTATGGCAACACTGGAGAAATTTCTTCACCCAAGCGAAACCTCTCGACAGGACACACAACCGCCTCATACAACTCGACTTTCCAAAATGTTGCCAACTATTCGAAAAATGAATTCCAAAATTTCGAAATTTTCATCATTTTACAAAATGGCCGCCCACGCCGCCGCCATCTTGATTTTTTGACATTTCGGATTTTTCCCATAATCTGGGTCGTATATCCGACCAAACGTCATTTTTATTTTTTTTCTGCCATAAGTCTTTCTGTCCGTCACTAACTTTAAAGTCACCCATGTCGCAAAAAAATCTTTTCCCCATAACTTTCAGTGTTGCCAGACTTTTTTCATAAAAATGGTAAAATGTCATTCAGGTCCCCAAATGTCACCAGACTGCATACCAAGTTTTTGGAATTTCTGGAAATTTCCATTTTCTACTATCCGGGGCCGTGGTGGAAAATTTTCTTCCAAAATGGTAGTTTTTTCCTATTCATGGCAACACTCGAATAACAGACCAACAATCGCCCGGAACATTGTACCCCACTCCGGTGTCGCCATCTACCGGAAAATTGCTGTCAAAGTTTAGAAATTTTTTGATCGCAACGAAATGGCCGACGGCTCAGCCGCCATCTTGTTTTTTGATAATCTGTGAATGTGGCTCTCAAGAAGACTATACATGTCACAAATATTCAAAAGAAATTTTAAAAAACAATTGCGCATCTCGGAGTGACACCTCCCTAAAAACATCCCGAAATCGCATTTTCAATCCAAGATGGCGGCGCGGCCATTTTGTTTTTCCATTTTTTTCTCACATTTTTTAACACACCTTGGCAACCCCAACCAACTCCTAAAAAAGAAAAAATTCAGGACCGAAAACAAAAAAGTTGGTGTTTCAAAAAGTGCCGCCATTTTGTTTTTTGGTTCAAAAAATTTAGTAAAGCTGGCAGTCGAAAAATCTAGTTTAAAACAAACACCAAAAATTTTACCCCCCTCCCCTCTAAATACCCTAAAAATACCCCTGATCAGTCAGTGAGTGAGTCAGTCAGTGGTAATCGAGCTTTATATATTATAGATAATTGACCTTTATTTGGACAGTAACCCACCTAAGTATTTACTAAAGAGGAGCAGATAGCGGTGAACCATTGCCTGTTGCTCTTATAAGACTACCTAATTATTCAACATAAAGTAAGGATAAATGAATACTTATGGGCCATTTTTCGGCAAAGGGGTAACGAGACTACGTTCATACATTGGCCCCTCTTTGTATCAAACAAAGGACAATCGTTCGCAACATTGTCAGTGGGTCAATAATGGGATCGCCACACGCAACAGGTACTTTACGATTATGAATAGGTAGGTACTTTTAGTATGTCACTCAGTAATTCAACCTACATTGCCATTCATCATACACGGTTCATAATAATTTATTTCATCAGGTATTAGGGTAGGGGCGCACGCACGGGTGACTTTTTACACTTTTGTTTAAAAGAGAGACAACGTAGTACTTATTCTTATCTATCTATGGAGAATTGTCACAGTGACAAAAGTCAAACGTGCGCGGGCGCCGTTAATCTCCAACTTTTAAAAGTACCTTTATCTAGTATTCTTACCTGTCCAGTCGCAGCCTTGTACTTGGCTTTCAATTCCAGCAAGGCTTTGACAGCCTCATCGACCTTGGCCTTGTCAGCCTTGGCAGCCTTCAAGGACCTCACCAGATCACCCTGCTTGACGATCTGGTCGTTCAGCTGTCCGACCGCCGACGTCGCTAGTGGCTGCTTGGCTGGCGTGCTGGAAACTGGTTTTGGCTGGAACAATAGATAATGTATGTTGTATTCAATGGTGCAGGGCAGACACTATTGTATTTCTCCCTTAAAACGATGCCGTCGCAAAAGGAGCATCCCCAACCCGTCTGGCCAGCACTACAATGGGGAGTAAAAAACAAAAAATCATAAAAGTAATTTATTTTTGCAAATAGGCTTTAAAAAGCACTTTTACCAAAGTGTGTGTGTAGGTGAGTTTATAGACCAAATCTTCATTTGCCTCTGGTCAATTGAAGAGCATCGTGTTCCTGCAGTGAATTACCTGCTGATGATGATAAAATTAAATGATAACTAAGTAGTTGTATTACCTAAACTAATTGATGGATAGTAAACTCTTGTATGCAAACTTCTCAGAAGAGTAGAAAACCATAGTTAATTAATTAAATTATTGTTCCAACATAAGACACAACCACTCATTAAGATATTCAAATTAAAAGCACATAAATCAAACAAGAAGAGCCGTCTTTGAAAAACTAAGGGTCCAAATCCACAATGGCTATAATAACAAATGACGCCAAATGGCATCATGGGTCTAAAAGTCGAGCTTTCGATTCCCGGTTTGTGCCGCAGGTTACACAAAAGGTAATCAAACATAAAGAACACGCGCCCCTTTGATTGACAAGCCTGTAAGGGGGCTACTTAGTAGGTAAATTAAAAAGGGTTGATACGATGTACTCAAATTACATCCCTACGAGTTTTAATAAGTACGTGTACGTAGGTACGCAAAAATGGAACGTCCAACCGATAACGTAATCGATCCTTGTGATCCTGTCAAGACCCAATTAGGGTGCGCGTAAGCCGAGATGAATGAATTATCATTTTGAACCTTTTGCCCAAGGCATACAAACTTGATACTTTATTTCACTCTTATTTCGGTTTTGATTACAGTCTGCCCTCACGACCTGTGACGCTTGCATCGCGGATAAATTTATGTTTGGTTTGAAACAAAGTTGAGTCTATGAAATAATAGATATTTTAAATAACCAAGTAAGTACTTAAGTAGGTAGTCAGAATGTTTTAATGGTCAGTCAAATCAAAATCTTTAGTCTAAACAAATCTCCCAAAAGTTGTCACAGCAGTTCACAGCATGAACCATGAACCATAATTATAAACAAAAGGGCTATTCATACTTCCGTTTAGCTATTACCTACCTACACTAGCTTTATCTTTCTCTCACTTGTAAACATTGACTGAAACAGAGTGACCCATATGTTGACAATCATGGTTTATAGGTCCATGTTGACAATATGAACTGTAAAGCGAGCATCGGGGAACGTTTATAAGAACTTACAGTTCAAGGACCGTGAGGAGATGAATAGGGTCCCAACAACCACTTGTAAAGTTTAGTAACTTTTTTAACTTGCTATCGAACACACGTGGAACGCAACTTAACGCAAAATTGACGTGCACGACCCGGTGTTTCTGGTCTGCACACTGACTTGTGGTGATGTGTCGACTCATACTTACAATACTTTCTAAAAGTCACGTAACTTGGCGCGAACGAAGGCCTGTGGTGTGTGGATATCCATCGCCGCTTTACGTCTCCGCAGTGAAAGTGCCGGCTAAAACAACGAGTGATGCACATCTTGACAACGCGTTTTGACTTTTGGAAGGAGGCGCAAAGAAAGTGAATGCAAGTGAGCGATTTTTGAACTTTAAGCGTGTGTGCTTTAAGATTCAAACTAACTGATTTATATGTATACTCGTACTTAATTAACTTTAGGCACCTACAGTAATATTGCTAATGCAACAATAGAATAGATAGGAACAAAGGAAAGACGAACGGATTTTAATGAAATAGTACCTACATAATTTATGTTAATTAGAGTAGGACCTACTTTACCTACCTACCTACCTCCTCTTCATGATTAATACAAATTTAATTTGCAAAGACTGCATTTTAACAAATAATGCTTAATGAAGTATAAGTAAACCTACCTACTCGGGGTAAGTAGGGTACGTATCAAATTTCTGCATTGATTTCAAAACGTAAGTTGGCTAATATGTAAGTATTAAAAAAGGTGTTGTTATTACAGTACTTAATCACTACTAAGCAAATTTTCATTACATTACTTACTGTTGAAAAGGGAAGCCAGCTTAGATTAAATTAGTAAAGATCTTAGCAAGCCAGTTAGATTTTCTACGTAATGTAAGTAGGTAGGCCTACTATTTTTAATTTTATTCAAACCACTAGAAATTAGAAAAGGTCGGCTTTGTTTTCGAATTTTGGGCGGGTAATACTTTACTATAAGTACCTATTAAGCTTAGGTAGTGTTTCTTCAATCTTGCCGATCTTTTATTCCGTCCAATCTTATATTATTTAAAGGAACCCGGAAGAAAGAACACTACCTGAACTCGTTTCAGCAATGTTTAGAATGGAACCTTACGATCTCACTACACTACTTACTTAGTCAGCATACATTTTAGTGATTTCGGTGCAGTGCATGTGTCGCAGTCGGATTGTATAATCCGCCGTTTTACATTACCACTAGGCATTTTACATTACAGCTCTGTTTTGTAATACGGCGGTACAACGTTTAGGCGGATTGTCATTGCGATACGTTCTTCAATACGGCGGCCCACGTTTAGCCCATGAAGCTAAAGATAAAAATGGAGGCCAGACTTAGAATACCTACTTGAAGCACAACCTATGTATCACTATCTCGCTCTCTGTGGGCAGGCTCTCTCTTTGTAAGTAGGGTAACCTTTTATTTATTTTTCTCAGGACGACAAAGACTGATTTACGTTTAAACAGTGTGTCTTGATAAAGTGCACTTAATATGATTATGAAAAAAGGTTTTCGATGTTTTTGTTTTAAGATGAATTACAACATTAAGAAAGTGTAAAGGCATCGAAAACTGTGGATATTTGATAGAAAACAGATTTTAATTTGGCAGTTGACAGACGGATTTGGATATGGATTGATTACAGTAAACGGCCGTAGAAAACATTATGCAAAATTAGATAAGTAAGGTCCTTTTTAAGTTGAAAATTACTCTCGTGTGCAACCTTGGCTCAAGATCATAAACTGAACCAAACATGGTAACTGATCGCCAATAACCTGATGTTACGAGCAGGAGTCACATCAGACTCTACATTTTTGTAGCAAAATCGTTCCTATTGCAACTGCATAAGATTCCACTGTGTTTAGCTTAAGGACTGTGATGTCTGATCAGATAAATAAATAAATAAATAATCTTTGGACAATTTCACACAGCGCCAGCTAGCCCCAAAGTAAGCAACTTAATATGCTTGTGTTATGGGTGCTAGCTTAACGGATATACTACTTATATACTTTTTTTTTAAATACATAAATATTATACATAGTCACACCCAGACCCGTCACAGAAATTAAAATTCATCATTTCAATTTCTGCCCGGCCGGGAATCGAACCCGGGACCTCTCGGCATAGTAGTCCGTTCTGAACCACTACACCAAACGGCCGACAAAACAGACACAAGTATTACAAAACAGAGCTGTAATGCAAAATGCCTAGCTGTAATGTAAAACGGCGGATTATACAATCTGACTGCGACACATGCAATGCATGTTATAGGCAGTTAGGTATATATGAGCGGCACCTAGACCTAGGCTCCGATTACGGTAACTTTTAACGTCAACAATCCAGACACGTTTCTCTATTCTGCGATACGATTGGTCGTTCAACAGCGTACGTCAGCTGTTTTGACCAATCGTATCGCAGAATCGAGAAGCGTGTCTGGATTGTTGACGTTAAATAAAAGTTACCGTAATCGGGTCTCTAGTGCCAGTCTACCTGCCTAGAGATGGGTAGTGGGTAAAAACCCATTTCACCCGATTGGGTTAAAACTGGGTGATTTGGGTAAAAACCCGGTTTTTACCCATTATCACCCATTCTGGTGGGTGAAAACAAAAATAGCGTTTTTTTTAAGTGAGAAGTGGTATTTGTTGCTAAGGGGGCGTTCTAGTGTTACGTAATGCAATCTGGGGGAGAGGAGGTTTTGAAAAACGTTACAATGCGNTTACCCACTACCCATCTCTACCTGTGACAAGGACGGGGGAGGGGTAAAAAAATCATGAAATTCGTGTGACGTACTTTATGGATGGCCCCTTACCTACTGAGAAAAGGGAAGCCAGCTTAGATTAAATTAATCTTAGTAACTAAGCCAGTTAGATTTTCTACGTAATGGAGGTAGGCCTGCTATTTTTAATTTTATTCAAACCACTAGAAATTAGAAAAACTCGGCTTTGTTTTCGAATTTTGGGCAGGTAATACTTTACTAAAGTACCTACCTATTAAGCTTAGGTAGTGTTTCTTCAATCTTGCCGATCTTTTATTCCGTCCAATCTTAGTTATATTATTTAAAGAAACCCGGAAGAAAGAACACTACCTGAACTCGTTTCAGCAAGCAGTCAGTCATACATTTTGGTGATTTCGGTGCAGTGCATGCAATGCATGACAAAGGCAGTTAGCATAGCTGGGCGTTAATCAAATAGTTAACTTCGTTAATCGTTAAACCGTTAATAAAAAATTTAACTTCGTTAAACGTTAAAACGTTACATTTAACAAGATTTAACGCAAGTTAACGTTAATCGTTAATTTGCTAACACATGTTTAAAACGAAAAAAGTAAGTTCAAATAATTTCGAAAGCTTGTATCGCGCACGGAATTTATCCCTCTTTATGTTTGCGCTACAAGCTTTCGAAATTATTTGAACCTTGCATGCAATTATTTTTTTCGTTTTAGTAACAACTGCATTTCAGAATAAAAGCTTGTTTTTAAAAAAGTATTTTATTATTATAATTTTATATTACACTTTTTAGTAGTAGACTAAGAGCTAGTGAACGCCAGATCTACGTCATTTTATAAAAGCTGAAAGTTCAACGATTCTTGAAATAACACCATTTTATAAAATAATTGGTCACATCATCATAACGTGATCAATTTTACGATTTGGCCACGATATAAATGCATATTAGTGTTAAATTTGACTTATTACTTATTAATCAATAAACTTAAATGAGAAAAATTCAATAAAAATAAAGAAAAGATACCAATTGAAATAATTATAAAATTATTTGTTTTCACCCGGTGTAAACACCCACGGGTGGAATGAAACGGGTTTTTATTGGGTTTTTACCCTCATGTGGGTTTTTACCCGGGTAGAAACCCACATCTATACCTGCCTGTAGCATAGAGAAAAGTAATAATAGGAAACTGTAGGTACTGTGTAAGTAGGTATTCTCTATACACAATCTCTATCGATTTATTAGTTAACTAATGGTCCTGAATCACTTGCCGGCGGTTTTATAGAAATATTTTAAGCAAATAAACATTTCATCTATAAAAAATCTTCAAATAAATTAATGATCAATTCAATCATCCCAAAATACTCACGTATTAATTGTTGTGAAAACTTGTCTTTCTTTCCTTTTCCAATATTTCCCGAAATGTTGCCCACTCAATACTGCTACGGACTGTTTCGGACCGAGAAACAAATTGTCAAAAGTCAGAACGAAATTTTTGCCCGTCAAAAATTTTACGAAAATTACGCGCCTCTGGATTTTTTGTTGGAATATTGCCTTTTTATGTAGGTACATGTATCTTTTGCTAAAGTAAAGATTAGTTTTTTCTAGAGTACCTCCATTTAAAAACTAATAACTATAAACTCGCTCTGCGAATAGAACAGTAAACAAAACTTTCTTGCCTTTTGCCTTCACTGCGAGCGTGTTATCATTTTTATAGAGACATGGAACTTGTAAAAAGTGTCGACACTCCAGCAGATCCCAACTCTTCAATTAATAAATTCAACAAGAACAGAGAAGTGACTGTGTGTGCGGTAAAACCTTTGGACAATCTTTTAGTTGCAAAAAATTTTCGTGTAACTAAACTTAATTATTGCTGCAAAAATCAAATTAAAGAATCTTCAGAAAAGATACTTCCAAAATGTTATAGAAAAAAGTGTCGAAGAATGAGTAGTATTCTAAGAAATAAACACTATAATCAGGAATCTGTGGGTACTGTAAGTATGACTATCAATGTGTTCAAAAGGTAGGCTTATTTATAATATTCAAGTACATATTATTTTGTAACTATATTGAAACTTTACAGAAAAAACACAAGAGTCGCAGGAAGCGAAGAAGTTACAAAATAAAGAAAAACCATTCCCAAACTAAATATAGCAAAAGAAAACAATTAAAAGAAGTTAAAAAGGTAAATTTTACTGTTAATAAATAATATTCAATTACTGGATAAAGAAAAAAATCATACTTATGTGTTTATTTCAGAACGCACCTAAAGTTGATGAGCCCGAACTATCATTGAGTCTATCTTCAATATCAGATTCACCTTCGGATGGTAACATCAGTTATGAAGACATTAGCTCAGATTCTTTCACATCAAATTCAGATAGTAAAATTGATACACTAATAAAAAGAACTAAAGAAGTGAGTATTTTAAAATTTTATTAGCTAATTTTACTGGCATTGCATATTAGTATTTTAAGTTGGAATATTAATAACTAGCTTTCCGCCCGCGGCTTCGCCCGCGTGGAATTTTGTCTGTCACAGAAAAACTTTATCGCGCGCGTCCCTGTTTCAAAAACCGGGATAAAACTATCCTATGTTCTTTCCCGGGACTCAAACTATCTCTATGCCAAATTTCATCAAAATCGGTTGCGAGGTTTAAGCGGGAAAGCGTAACAGACAGACAGACAGACAGAGTTACTTTCGCATTTATAATATTAGTTGAGATATAATTTCTTTTGTATTTTTTTCAGCGTGAACGAAGAATGTCTGGGAATAATTTTGAAAAGCCTTTGTATGCAAGCTCTCCACTAAGTGTTGTATCTTCTGTTGAATCAGGACAATGGGATGGGGAAAATGAATCTATCAATTCTCTTGAAACTTATGTCCTGGAACGGCAAGATATGTAATGTTATCATGAAGCAAATCCTGATAATGTTCCTTTTAAAAATGAATAGTTGAGTGCAGGTTGCACTTAAACTAAACCAAAAACAATTCATAATAATGAAAACTTATATTAAAACAGGTTTTAGTAGATAAGTAGTGTGTAAATATTATGTGTCTCAAAAATTTATTTAATGTAGGTTAAGAAATAGAAAAGCTATTTATAATGAACTTGTAGCTAACTATCATGTGTTGACCACTGATGTAACCAAGCAGTAAAGCTTGTTATTTTATCTTATATTCAAAAATTTTATGCGAGAAAGTAATTTTATGAAGTAGGCCTTGTAAGAAAATGTTTGATGTTAGGGATGATATGATAAATGGTGTTTTGTCTTTTATTAAATATTGATAAAAAAAAGAATTTATGTCTGTCTGTTACTATATGGTATAAAGATTATATTTTTTTCTTGTGATTAGTTCTATGCATTTTATTTAACTTCTGCATTAGGTATTTGCTATAGCAACATAAACCATCTCTCAGTGACCACTAAGTTGTAAAATATAACGATGAAAGGTAGGGTTCAATAGGCGCCGACAGATTCTATAGATACTTGAAATATAAAACCTATCTCCAATTTCAATAGCATTTATAAACCATTCTGTAGTTTCTCACGAATATGTAGGTACTTACCTATCTACTTAGTTATTACTGGCTGACCTGGCGAACTTCGTACCGCCTAAAGGCGCGCGCGCACGTTTGAATTTTGTCTTCTCTCTTTTTCTCTTTATAAAAGTGTACAAGAGAAAGATATACTGTCACGGTGAGTGACAAAAGTCACTCTTGCGCGCATAGCCTACGTTAAGGTATTATTAGATCGCGGACTACCCGCAATTTATTAGATTCACTAAAAATATTACCCTCCATTTTTGGGTAGTTGGGAAAAAAGTACTTAGCCTCTAACATAAAATAATTAATATGGGTCAGCTACGGTACCACCATACCAAATTCCATCAAAATCTGTCCAGCCGTTCTATTAAATTAGTGTCTAAAGCCGAGTCGCCAGCGTGCAGCGCGTGTTTTGCTCTAGAAAATCAACAAAAACTAAAAAAAATTAAGGCACTTTGTTGGTTGTTGACATGTTTTTGTTGATTGTGTAGGGCAAAACACGAGCGCAGTAGCTGGGGACCAGACTTTAATAACACTAATTTGTTCTAAGTAGTGAAAATAATTAAAGCATTCTGAAAGAAAGTCCCTTCATGCATGAAGTCTCAGAAAATGAAAGCAATAAATTGAAAGATCGAAGAAAATAATATTGGCCGCTAATATTGCCGCAACTCTCGATATCCTTTTTTCTTTGCTTTAAAAAAACAAAATGTCATCTTGACATTTGCCGGTTGTTTCCATCTGACGTTTAGTTTCATGTGTCTTTTTTCCAATTGGAAAATGAAGATCACTATCAGCCCGCGAAATATTAGCATATTTTTTTATCTAACTTACCGACTTCACCGTAGCATTGCCTGGATATATGTAAGTCATTTAAACTCCCTAACAAAAATAATTTAACATGAATGTTTAAAGTTAGTCAAACACATTTGAAATACTTAATAAAATGAACATAGGAACTTATTTTATTCTAAGAAAGAGGAAGAATTTAAAAGGTAGGTAGGTATTTAGAGTGAAAAATCGTAAATTAAGTACCTAGCCCTGAATTTATTGGAGTCGTTCTTTGTTACAGGTATAAAATGTCGAATCCGCACAATTCTAAGTACGTAGGTAGTTCTAACATCATTATTGTGCCAACTGTGTCATTCTGTGAACCGCCGCCCCCGAAAAAACAGAAACTTGATGCCAACCAAGAACCCAGGGGCCAAACTATACCTGTAGTCCCTATAGCAAATACTAGCAGTGTGCCATTTGTCCCTATGGAAAATAATAACAGTGTGCCGATTTTCGCGGGGGAAAATGTTCCCAACAATAAGCCAGTACAAGTAACACAGTGTATAAATATCACTGAAGACACCAGAAGAGAATGTGAGCAAAGAATTATGAAGACGCTGAGCTGGGCTTCAAATTACTTGCAAAGTATTGGACAGTCGCAGTCAAAAGTTACGCAGGTAAGTGAAATTAATATTTGAAAGAATAATTTCAATTTATCACTGTCTGACCTATATTTGAAACACAAAAAACATGTCCCGGTGTGTATGTGATATCTTTAACATTTGTCTAGTTCACATATTATTTAAAAGTGAATTATTAGTATTGAAGTTCTTTTAAGTTGTCATTTTGATGACTCAGGTCCACATGTACATTTAATTGGTGTCACTTGTTATTGACAAGTCAGCCACTTAGAAAATCTTGACCGCATGTTGTATATCTAGAAAATTATTTATGTAAAACATTACTAGTATTTAAGTTTAACCTGCACAATATCTGAATCATATCAAAGTTAGTTAATTAGTTATTACACAATTTACAAATACAAACTACATAATACAAATCATGAAATTATTTTGGTATTGAGCTTCAGCAGTTAGGCACTTAGGCATCTTGTAAGAAAACATTATTATAAGTTTTATTTAAAAATACATATTTTAGGAAAATCTAAGGAAGGCTTTAGTATTTTGGGAGACATTGTAAATTGAAAATTATGTTAATTAATGATTTTAACAATAAATGAATATCTTATTATTTTTGTTAGTATGTTACAACCAACAAGATTTAAAAAGTTATCAAATAAATAAAATATAAATTATGGTGATTCTGATCATGAAAGTTATTTTATAGGGTTGATTGTTCTAACTCTCAAATGTTTCTTTTTCCCTAGAGATTGAAGTTCAAATATTTAAAAATCTTTTCTATACAAATTATCATCAGTAATCAGTCATTATAGTATAGGGAGGGAGGTAAGTTTCTTTTTGAGAATTGATAAATGCCCTGTTGGAAAAGTAGTTGTATTTGAATAGTAAAATCAACCTTTTTATTTGATCTACATTAATATTATAAAGAGGAAAGATTTGATTGTTTGTTTAAATGGAATAAACTCTGAAACTACAAAAAAGATTAAAAACATTCTTTCATCCAAATTTTTGTTTTCTAAGTCTTATCTGTCAAAAAACTTCGAATATTTACTGTATAATAAAAAAAATACATGAAAAGCAGCGTGTGACGTCCACCTACAAGGTGGACCGACGACATCGTAAAGGTAGCAGGGAAGCGCTAGACGTAAGCCGCTACCAATCGATCAACATGGAAAGTATTATTGGGAGAGGCCTATGTTCAGCAGTGGACGTCCTATGTCTGAAATGATGATGATGATGATGAATAAAAAAATAGGTATTTCTTTCGTCATTTTCCGCAATTTGGCACTTCACGTCACACATTAATTTACCGAAGTTCGCCGACCCCGTAAATCAGTAATTGACAAATATTATAGGTAAATTAATTAATTAATATTGTGATTTTATAAATTATCACAACTCTTTATTGGTACGAAGTTCGCCGTGACAGCTAGTAAACTATAAAAAAACACCCTTTATTAGTCACGATAATGAATGTACATAAAAATAAAGCTAGTTCTGGTATCTTGTCTAGCCTTTTAAAATTGGTATCTATTGATACCTCCACGATATATGTAGGTACCACCTATTTAAAATTGTGAGATTTATCATTTAAGATTTTTATATTTTCTACAGCTCACAAATTCAACAGTTCAGAAAAAATATGCCAAAGTTGATGAAGAAATTACCAGCAAAAATGTTTCCAAGACAACATTCAAATATGATGATGTAGTTAAGCCAACAAAAAAATTACCAAGCTTGTCGAATGTTGCGAGAACAACTACACCATTGAAATATAATTCTGTTGCTACTGGAAATAATAACCATGAAATAAAACAACCTATTGAAATGAAATTTTCCTACCATAAACGATCCACGGATCTAGACAATGATAAAGTAAAGGCTCTTCACACAAAAAATAAGTTAAACTCATCAAATACTGCCGAAAAAACTAAAACTCCTCTTCGCTTGAAATTTCCTACTTCTTATTCAAAAACACACGAAAAACATAACCCGTATGAAGAAAAGTATGACGGAAATTCAAGTTTAAAAAATGTCGAAAGAAATAATGCTGTAAAAAAAGTCAACTGCATTTCCATTTCTCAATCAAAAATACGCGAAAACATCACCTACAATAAAGAAAAACATGACAAAGACATACCCAAAAATACAAAGTCAATGCGCGAAGCAATTTCTGTACAAAAAAGATCTGCCGATCGAAATGCTGACCGAAAAAAGGACTCCAAAGAAAGTAAACCTTCAACATCAAAAAACGAAAATCCATACAAATGGTATGGACCTCACATTAAAAATGCCATGGAGACCTCCAACAGAACTGAAAATCGGTCTGAAAAACGGGCACATACTTATCGTAACAGTAGATCACCATCTCGCAGCAGAAGCGAATTGAGAAAAGAAAAGGATAAATATAGTTCCAGTGATTATACTGTAAAACGTGATAGAAATTATGATAATAGCAAAGAAAAAACGAATCCAACCAAAAAACCCAATAACGAAGAGCATATTACAGCCAATACAAAACCGTTAACAAAATCTAATCAAAAATATATTAATAAAACCTCCGAAATGTCGAATACAGCTGTTAAAAGTGTAGTTCAAGTAAAAAATAACTATGATTTTAATAGTCCTAAAATTGTATCTTTTCATAGTAATAATGTTGAAGATTTAAGAAGCAAGCTCAAAAGAAAACATGAAAACAATAAACGCGAAAACCTAATCATAACTGTACCAAACAACGAAAAGAAAGATACTACCCCTAAACCGGTAATTCCTGAAGAATCGCCAAAATTGCAAAAGAAGTCTAGGAAGTATAAAAAAATCAAATTAGTTATAAATGTTATCTGTGAAAACGGGTCCGAATCCAGTGAATCTGACAACGAGACTAATAATAAGGACAGTCAAGAAGTTAATGAAGATATTATATCTTTTCTTGATGACTTTAACGTCGATGATATTGTAGACTCTTTGAATGACGAGGAGAATAAAGTTAATGTTAAAAACCCTTCAAAAGAGGAATGTTTGGAAGACACTGAACACGATACTGTTAAAGAATCTATAATAAACGAACAGGAACTGAAAGCGAAGGACGATTTAAATATGCACAAAAGGTAAGATACAAAATAATGAAAAATCATACTCGATATTTTATTCTTGTTTTTTTCATACTCAACTAATAATAAATTTATTGTGTTCTCTCCTCAGATTCTACACCAAATCACCACAAGTCAAATTAGAATTGGAACTAAATCGAAACTCGCAAGAAATTGAAGATTATGTTAATGATAAAAAATATCGGTCTTTAGAATTAACTAAGGATGAGAATCAAACTTCGAACAAAATTCATGATTCTGGTACATTCCAAAATAAAAATAAAGTCGGTTTGATAGAGATCAAATCTAGGATATCAGATACCAATTCAACCATGTACACCCGCTCATTTAAATGTGGCCAGAATGTGGCAGACAGAAATGTGACTGTACCAGACATAATTGTAAAAGAACAACACGCATGTTCAACACAAATAGGTAGCGATGAAACCAAACATAACATTAATTCTATTACCAAACCAGTCTCTACTTCAAATAAGGAAACAAATCTAACTAAAAACGAAAAAAGTTGGGCCAAGCTGGACTCTAGTCCTACTGAAGCAATTATCAGATCAATTGAAACTGGCAACAATACAACTAAACAAGACGCCAGTGAAACTATAATAGACATCAATTCAACCAAAATTGTTAACAATTATAAACTGGACAATTGTTCAGCTAATCAGAACACTAACCAAACCAAAATAAATTATTACCCAACGAAACTAGATGCCGATCGAATTAAAGAAGATACTGATTCCACTAAACTGATACCTATTCATACTCAACTGAACTCTAATCCTGTCAAATTCGACAACAATTCAAATAAACTGGACACCAGTCAAAACAAACAAGACAATTATCTGACTAAACAGAGTACAGATATAAATACCTTGGGTTCTAGTCAAAACAACAATTTAAGTAATGTACCAGGACGTCATAATATTTTTTCTGCCATTGATGCCATTGTAAGCAGTAACCAAACCAAACTGGGCTCTAGTCAAAGCAAAGTGGATAAAAATGTAACTGAAATAGACACCAGTATAAATATTCTAGATAGCTTTTCCACAAAAGTGGCCACTAAGCAATCTAAAGAGGATAGTAAGTCAACTAAACTTATTCCCCCAAGTGAACAGGGCACTGGTTCAAATAAACTTAACTCAGATCTAACTAAAATAGACTACCCTAAGTCAAAGCTGGATAATAATCGTACTAAACCAGTCAGTAATTCAACTGAAGCAGGCAATGATCTAATTACTACTAATGTAGTACTAGACCCCATTGCAACTCAAATAAACATAATAAAAAATACACAAGTTATCAGTTCTAAAGAGGGCGCTCAACCAAATGAACAGGACACTAGTAAAACTGAAGTGGAATACGGTGTAAATAAAGTAGACACTAATTCAAATGAACTGACTACTACGTCAACCAAGCTAGGCTCCAATCAACTGGACAGCAATCTTACCGAACTAGACATCATTACAAATAAATTGGATACTTGTACAAGTCCAAATAATCTGGCTACTGATTCAACTGAACTGAACAAAGATATCGATATAAATAAATATGATATTACACCAAATAAACTTAGCACCAGTCAAACTGAACTGAACACCATTCTAAATATACAAAAAATTGATCCAACGGAAGTCAGTGCCATCCCGATCAATAAAACTACATCTGAAGTCGCCAATATTACTACTATTAGCGATAAAGGCAAAACATTCGAAAACGAGACAAAAGAAGTTGTTACTATAGACTTGACAGTAGTAGAATCCGAGAATGAGCCTAACAACACATCTTCAAGTAATCATATCGTACAAACCCCATTAACACAACCAGAATCAGAAAAGCAGCATACGATTGCGAAGTCTGCAAGCGACGATGTCATTGACTTAACATTGTCGCCGAAGTCATCAGAAATAAAAAATGTAGAAAAGCCTACAAAAGAAACTTCAGTTCCGATGCATAAAGATGAAGAAAAGTCATCAAATCATAAAAATACTAAATCATGTGAAGATACTTCAGAAATGATAAATAACGCAGAAAACCTTTCAATCGATATAGAAATGATTAGCAAGGAGCATGAAAATAAAGAAACAATAGCAGATGAAAATTCGATTAATATTAATGACGTGATATCTATTGAAGAGGGTTCAGAAATGAGTAATAAAAACTCTTTAATTAATACTGGTATAGTATGCAAAGAACATGAAAATAACGAAACAATAGCAATGGAAAATTCGATTGATGTTGATTTGTCGACTGAAACCGAAGAGGTTTCCAATAACATCATACCAACAAAAGAACAGCCTATCGAATCCAACCAAAAATTGGCTAAAACAGAAGAATCGCTGACGACAAAATATTCACCTGAACTGCAGCATCAAGAAGAATGTAATAATTCACAAAATAATATAGAAATCAGTAATATCACATATGAAAAGGAATCTACTGGAAACAACATTACTAAACAAACAACAGAAGTATCACAAGATCTACAAGTACATGAGGTCATTTGAAAAATTAGAAAAAAATGATACAATCTTGACTGCATTACATCTTGCGTGTGAACAAGTCAACAATATTGCTGATAAAACTTCGAATAATTCAGGGACAAAAGGTACTGACCTAAATGTGAATGTGAATGACGTAGTGAGTTTGAACGACGAAAATTTAACAAGTTACAACTCCGAGACAAGTGATGCGGATAAAACACCAAGTGCTGGAAGTCCTGAATGTGTAAAACTTAAAATGATTACAAATAAAAATGATGCACCTGTTAAGTTAATGGAAGTTGTGCCGGAGGTTAAGACAACTTTAACAAAACAAGATATGGTCCATAACGAAAAAAACAAAAGCGAATCCTCTAAACAACCACAAACTGCAGTTACTAAATTATATTTGAGAGGAACAGAACTATTAAAAGCGCTGGAATTCCGACTGACAAAAAATTTAAAAACAAAAATTACCATTGAATCGTTGATACATCATGGCCGATTTTCTAAAGTATACCGATGCAAAGCTGAAAATGGGCGAAATTATGCTTTGAAAGTTCTGAAGTAAGTACCTATACATAATACTTGTGTGTGGTATTTCATAAACGTTTCGTATTAACCAATAATGTATCTTTTTTACAGTAAGGGCAAGAGAATGACAGGCTGCCCAATAGGACAAATGCTGAAAACCATCCAAGCGGATATACCAAAAAAAAATTATCATATCATCTTCCTAGTAGATGGATTCACAATGGCGGAGCACTCGTGTTACGTAATGGACTTTTTCCCTAAAAACATCAAGGAAGTGATGAATGAACGTAAAAAATGTTTTCACATCGATGTCGTTCAAATGCTTACAAGACAATTAGTATCAGCAGTATTAATATTACGGAATCATAACATCTTACATTTAGGTAATAACGGCGGATTCTACGAAGCTTAGCTGAAATGCTCTAGCAAGCTAAGTAGCTTCTTTGTAGTCACTGTTCAATTTCAGTATGAAATTAAAAAATATAACATAGTGTAGATTCTAAAGCATTTCTGCTGCTGCTGCTGCATCACTACCGCTAATTGTAATTACTTTTAAAAACCACGTTTTCCTTTTTATTTTTCAGATATCAAACCAGCTCATATTCTCATAAATGCCAATAATGACCGAGTGAAGCTCGCTGGATTTGATCAAGCTCAGTATTTGGAAGGTCACACTGTTCTGCCAGGAGTAGGCACAGCGAATTATCGAGCCCCTGAAGCGATATTGGGATTTCCTTACTTCGGAAAGGTGGACGTGTGGTCTACTGCTCTAGTAATTTATGAAATGTGTACCAACAGCCAGCTATTCCCGGGCCAGTACAATAACGATATTCTGTATAAGCAGATGTGTATACTTGGTAATATCCCAAACGATATGTTGGTCCAATGTGTTTTCACAAACAAACACTACCGCGGCCAATTTTTTGCCAGGAGATATGGTCCTGCTTGGGAGGTAACTATGCCTTTTGATAGTATGAGCTCTTTTGGTCCAACAATAAGTTTGAACCGATAATGTATTTATATCTTTACAGCAATGTGAATTGATAGCCAGATTCAGGAAGAGTAACAGGATCTCCTCTTCTTTATTTGAAGCATATTATAGGGACTGGGGACAAAAACTGACCAGAAGGCAAAGATCTGATGATTCAGCGAAATTACGTATTCTTCGTGATTTACTTCAAGAAATGTTGCATCTGAATCCAACAACCCGTATGCCGATAGAATTCGTGTACACCAATGCTTTTATTTATGAAACTTTCAACCTTGATGTGTATTAAAAATTTATATTTATGTGTAGTATTTAAGATTACCCGCTGCATTGAGTATTATAAGTTTCGATCCCTGTCTCAGCGACTTTTTGATAATAAACGTTTTGACAAGGATGTGTAGTGTACTCACCAACTCTATGCAGCAAAGTAAAATGATTGTGGAAAATGTCATCTATTTTATCTTTTATTTGTTATTAATTTAGTTGCTTAGTTAAAGTAGACAATACAGCATGAATGATTGATTTAACTAATGATAAGTAGTACTAGTTAGGCGATTATAATTATAAAGAAAAACGAGTCAATTATTAAATTACGATCAATCGCGCATGCTGTGTCTAGATACTTCGTTAATTTTAAGTTTACAGAGTTCCTAACTTGCGTTTATGATTATTGAAAGAAATATTTGTTTAGTTTTAAGAGTTTATAGCATTTTTTCTTAAATTACCAGTTATGTTGTCTTAAATTAAGTTGTTTATGTTAATTAGTGTATAGCATCCGACGAAATTTACTAAACTTCTGTTCAGACTTATCTACCAGTATTATATAAGAACCAGTAGCGCATAAGCATTGAGGTAGATGATGGAAACTACGTATCGCAGAAACAGCATCAAGCAAATTTCGTAACAATATGGTTGAAATGAAGTGCAGATTTCATTGACAAGAGAACACCATTTTCTGCGAGAAAATAAACCTTATTTATTGCACCGTATGCCAACGGCATAGGGTCCTTTTTTCTGCTCTGCCTCTCAGCTTACGCGCAGCATTATAAAGATAACAATTTCGCAGAGCTTAAAATTGTATTTTTCGTAACGTACGAATAAACTTTTTACTTTTTTACAAAAGCGCAATATTTATTTATATCTTGTCATACAACTTTATTCGGCTTCAATGATTCCTATTGATTGTCAGAAACTAATATTATTTAGTTATAGTTTTTATGGTTAGTAATTTTTTTTTACTTTATTGAATTTAAACTGTCATTGGTGTATTCATATTGCCACGAGGTATAACTGTATACGGGACCTCTCGCAGAGTTAACAAGAAACTTCCAAATGGCACCCCACGTAGCAATATCAATATGCCTTTGATGACGATGACAGGCATAAAAGGCTAAAGTACGGCCAACTAGCAGCGATACAAAAGGTCGATTCGACTGTCGAATTGACAATCTATTCTGTCTCTTCCCATCTTGTGTATTTGTCGTAATGTCTCGTTCTCCCGCCAAAATATGTCAAAGATAGACGGGTTCGTCAACATTCGGACATCCATTTTAGTATAAATCGTTGTTGCAATTCACGAGGGCGAATCTGTAACTTGTCGGTTCTTATTTTATTATTCCGATATATTTAAGTCTATGAAAAAGGGGTAGACCTGTTTCCATACACCGGGCACATTGTGAGACAGAAATGTTACAATAATTCAAATTATAACAAAAACAAAATTCTAACTATTAAAAAGTTATACACCCCTGCTATTCCAAATGACATGACATTGGGTTTGTTTACATTTGGTATCGCTTCTCGTTGGCCGTACTTTAGGTCAAGTACGCGTAAAAAAAATGTATGCGATTTACTCGTGTAAGAACGTGAATCTATCTGAACTTAAAGCTATTGTGTAGTCTAGCTAGCTTATTGCCGGAGTTGTAAGCTTAGCAGCGTAAGGCTAACGTGTCTGAAGCGCTACGCAAACTTAAAAACTGTGCACTGTTAGATAAAAGACCGTAGCACATTTATCGACCCGAAAAGGGATCGTAACCGTATCAACTCGAGGCGGTCAATATTATTTGTATGAAACTCCATACTCAACGCACGCTTATCCGCTCACCGTCAAGTAAACCATTCGCCTCGCAATGAGGGCTATCGTTTTTATACTTAACAGTTGGCACCCATGGCGATTGACAGGACCTTACTCTACAGTGGCGCCATCTTGATGAGTGCAAATGCGATAGTCCTCCTACCACTTTAGCGCTCACCAGTTGGTGCCACTGTCTTCGCTACTAGCAAGTGACAGGACCTTACTCTATAGTGGCGCTAACTGGTGAGCGCTAAAACGATAGCCCTCATTGACAGCGCGCGAAAGGCGATGACAGCTCGTAAAAGGCGATACGGTGTTGATCCCTTTCCGAGTTGATATGTCTGCTATGACCTAAAAACTACCACTACCTGCGCTGCTATACAGGGTGTTAGGTAAATGGGTATATGAGTCGACACTAGACCATGTTAACATGGGCATATAAATAGTATGGTGAAGTCAGAAAATTGATATCTTCATTTTAATAATTTAAATTTTCATACAAATCAGATAATATAAATTTCTGACTTCACCATACTATTTATATGCATATGTTAACATGGGTTAGTGTCGGCTCATATACCCATTTACCTAACACCTTCTATACACTATTTGTGTTAAGACTTTGACGGACGTTTTCCCTAAGAAGTAAACTACATCTACAGTGAAGCACTAAACTTTAAAGTCACTTGAAGATACAAGCGACATAAGACTTCCTACACGGCACTCTCGGATACAGCAACCGCTACGTTTTCCTGTGGATGGTATGCCGTGTTGGCCATAATGGACTAAGAGCCAGTGAATGAGACCTTCGTTTTATAAAGGCAGAAAGTTTGTCAGTGCATGCTCCCAACATAGGTAAGAACGTTGGACCATCATGAAGTTTCGAGTCGTCGAACCATCAATCAAACAACGAATCTGGCGTTCACTGGCTCTTGCTCTATAATGTGATTATGATCTACGTCTGCGCAGCGCCTGAACCTGTTTTAATCTTCGGAATTTTCATGTTACGCAAGGTTACTAAAGCGAAGAGGACAAATAAGAAAAACACGATATGATGCACCAAAAAATTTATTTTGTTTAGTAAAGCCAGGAAAAATAAGTGCTCTTGAAGCATTTCATCTAGAACGAGATGTTTGTTAGCAGCAAACGGAAAAGCATAGAAGCAGTTTTGTAAACCCATAACCGAATAAAGGCTACCAGAAGTTACAAATTCGCAAAGGACAACAGCTACATTCTATTGGAACACAAAAACAAACGTTACTCGCACACTAAAATGCATATTTTACTCGCGTTACATTAAACTTCTATGATTTTCTGTCCGCAGGATCAATTTTATTGATTAAACTGTGAATATGGTCGTGATGAAGTTCGCGTTGCCAAAACCAATAAGTTAACAAAGTGTTAAAATGGGATATGACGTGCTGGGTTTTGGGACCAAGCTAAGATGGCTAGTACAAGGGCAGCGACTAAGTTATTTCATAGGAGCCGAGTGATATTAGTCGATATTTACAGTCTCTATTCCAGCATCTAAGCCATGTGTAGAGGGGAGGCATTCTTTCTTTAAAATTTACTTTTAAATTTTATGATGAACTTCTTGCTGACCAAAATACTTTCGAAAATATTTCAACGTTGGTCATTTCTTGTTTGCAACTGTAATAGGTATTATGGCCTGACCAGGAACATAAAAACCCTGGCATAGTGGCGCGTCAATTGCATTTGATAGTGCAACACTGAGTACAGTCGTACCTGTGTTAAATTAATAGGCTAACTTTATGTATCAGGATTCAGGTTTACGGGTTAATTTGATATTTTCATAAATTAACGAAAAACTGTTATTATAGGTAACCTGGTTTAAATAAATTAAATGAAACCATCAATCGAGCTAGACGGATTTACTTTATTATTCATCAATAATCAAATTCAGAACTTGAATATTCAACTGCAATGTCTGCTCATGAACGCTTCAAACTCGGTACTTCTTTCCCAATTCCATAAAATTCAACACTTTGAAAGTGACAAAAACTTTAAAATAGTGTAACACTTTTTTTTGGCGAGATTGAATNAATTTTCTGTCCGCAGGATCAATTTTATTGATAAAACTGAATATGGTCGTGATGAAGTTCGCGTTGCCAAAACCAATAAGTTAAACCAAGTGTTTTAATGGGATATGACGTGCTTGGGTTTTGGGACCAAGCTAAGATGGCTAGTATAAGGGCAACGACTAAGTTATTTCATAGGAGCCGAGTGATATTAGTCGATATTTACAATCTCTATTCCAGCATCTAAGCGACGTGTAGAGGAGAGGCATTCTTTCTTTAAAATGTAAGTACTTTTAAATTTTATGATGAACTTCTTGCTGACCAAAATGCTTTTAAAAATATTTCAACGTTGGTTATTTCTTGTTTGCATTATTACCTAACTACTCACTTACCTGTCAAGTACTCGATTCTTCTCATATGTCCTTATTCTTGCACATAGATTTTAGAACATCTTACACAATGCATTTTACAAAGCCACCTTTCCTAAAAACTATTTCACCATTCGTTTTTATCATTTTTTCTACAATTCGAGCGAAGATTATTCATCATCGAAACTTCCTAGTTCTTTCGAGTATTGTAAAAAAACTGCCTATAAAAAACTTCATCCCGTTTTCAACCCATAAGGCAAGAATTTCCCAGTCATCTTATATTTCAATTGTTTCAAAATACATAATATTTTGTTATTCTTTCAATAAACTGCCTATAAAAACTTCATTCCCCTTTCCATACGAGATAAATTCCCGGTCATCTTACATTTCAATTCCTTTAAAAACCTACCTATAAAAAAGTTCACCCCTTTTCCAACCCATAAGGCAGGTCTTTAACTCTTTCGTTTCAGTCCTCTCTTCTTTCGAAACTTTTCAATTCTTATAAAAATCCTATAGTCATAGTCATATAAAAGTCATCCCCTTTTCAACTCACAAATCTAATCCCCATTTCAATTCCTTCAAAAAGCTACCTATAAAAAAGTTCATCCCTTTTCCAACCCATAAGGCAGGTCTTTGCTCTTTTGTTTCAGTCCTCTGGTCTTGCGAAACTAATTTCTTTCAAAAAGCTATAGCCATATAAAATTTTCAACCCACAAATCTCATCCCACTTACCTGGCCGGGCATCTCCTTGGTATGTCCGTCTGGCACGTGGAATAGTACCAGCGGCGCCGCTCGCGCCGTGTGCGGCGAAACCGGCGCCGGCGCAGCGTCCACTCTGAAGAACCCTCGGCGTTGGAGCTGGATGATGTCGCCGACTTTCACGTGGGCTAGGGACGGCTCGCCGAGCATTGGGACTTCCCACTGGAATGAGAAGGTTTTGGATGTATTAAAATAATAAGAAGTTAATTAAATAAAGAATTTTGATTTGAAAGCGACAAAAGACCATCCGCCTCGGAGTCGGCATCGGATTGCAGACTCGAGATTTGAGGGTGGCTAGTTCGATTTATGTAGAAAGCTGGACTATTACTATTGTAGCTTACTTGGTAGGGTTAACAGGAATATTAGTAATTTAAATTAAAAAGAAAACAAAACTCCACTATGCATCATCAGTCTTTTGTTAAAAGAAGTAAAAAAAACATCACCCCATGCATCATCATGATACGACCTATTAACAGAATTTTTTTCCATCTTAACCGGAAAAAATTCACTGTTGGAGAAAAGGCCTCCTCCAAAGGTTAGCTTTACATCAAACCCTAGTGGTTTTTAAAGCTATCTAAATGTAATTGTCTCAATGTAACTTTCTTTAAGTTGTTAAATAAAAAAATAAAAAAAAAATATACAAGTGTAAATGTTAATGTATGTTTTAAATTCAATAAATTATTTGTATTTGTAAATATTTCGATCCTGCGCTGCCCTTTACTCCTTCATCCACTTGCTTCCCGCAACCATTGCCAGGTCGTCGACCGACTAAGTTTGAGGCTACATTACTTTTCAGAATTAATATTTTAACATCCTTACCCTAGTCTTGTGGCCGATAAACTGTTTGAAGTCCTCGTCTTTTCCCAGAAGTGGCTTAGATATAATGTGGTCAAAGTACACGCAGTAAGTTTCGACCATAGGCGACTGCTTGCTGTCGGCCAGCCAGGTCAGTTTCAGGGTCTTCTTGAAGTCTTTGTTGTCCAGGTTTGATGTTGCGTCTATACTTGTGACTGTGCCGTCTGGTGCTCTGAAAATGAATGTTTAAATTAACTATGTGCTTTGGAATGGTAATAGAAAAGATACTGGTGCCGCCATAATAGGCCTCACTAGTCACTAGAATAGGTGTGTAGTGTTTCTGAAGCTGATTGACTGAGTAATAGATTAAGATTTGCTCAAGAAATAGGTTTTTACAGCGATTTAATAAATAATAATAATAACAAAAAATCCTACAACAAGTGTCTGTGTTTTTAGAGGGCAACATTATTAATAAAATAACGAGTCAAATTGAAGAGAAAACATGTCATTGCATGCACATTATTGCACATGAACTCAAGCGGAAGCTTTTGGTTTAGTAATAGGAGAAGGGACAAATACGCGAATATTCCGTTACGCGAGTGTTCCGGTTCAGTGGAGTGCGGACCAATTAATTTCTCCATTTGCTTCTGGAAATCAAAGAGGGTCGTGCTCCTACAATAGGAACTAAATTCCCTGATAAATGATTATAAGCACTTACTTGTGAATCTTATCAATCATAACATTCCCGTAGTTAATGAACGTGGCATTCTCTCCTTCCTTCAGACTCTTAGCATCGGCCTGGTCGATCAGCAACCTTGGTGAGACCCACACGGTCTTGTTACCCACGTCTGGGTTCTTGGGATGAAGAGGCACAGTCAGGCTGGAGTCTGAAGAAACGCCCTTGAGGTTCACTGGCACGGTGCTTGTTTCTAACGCTGTGTAGCGCGGCGCAATTGGGTCTATGACCTGTAATAAAGAAAAGATTTGTTATTTATGAATTGCATAGCCTTCGCCAGGTTACGAATCGAATAACCGCCCGTTCGGACGTTTAAGATCGATTATTTCACAAAACAATTAACTGCTGTAGTATGACGTCACAACAAAAATCAGCGATATTAATCGCACGCATGTCTAACTTCAAACTCTATGGCCATTTGCACACCTATGCCGCGGCGCTGCATTAGCATTCCTTGGATTTGTATGGGGTCTTACATGGGACATGGCGACTCGCCTTATCCTGTTACGCGGGGTCCGCTTTCCCTATCATTCGCCGCCATTTTTTTAATTTGATTCTATTTTGAACGTCGTCATCATCATCATCATCATTTCAGCCACAGGACATCCACTGCTGAACATAGGCCTCCCCCAATGACTTCCACATCGCACGGTTGGTAGCAGCCTGCATCCAGCGCCCTTTATCAGGTCGTCGGTACACCTTGTGGGTGGACGTCCCATGCTGCGTTTTCCGGTACGCGTCCTCCATTCCGGAACCTTGCTGCCCGTCGATGCTGCTTTAACGTCGTGTTCATGGAGTACTTTCATATCATTTTGGACATTCGTCAACCAGGTGGTTTGGGCGGTGATTTCCTCCTTCTACGGACTGTGAAACCGAAACGTACCTTCTTGTTGATGGCCCAGATCTTGTCCCACTCCATGAAGACCACGGAGCGGCTGGAGCCCTGCGCCTGGATGAACTGCCTCAGGCCTTCCACCGTCATGCCGCGCCGCAATACTCCCCGCACTGTGGGCAGGCGGGGCGTCCCTGTGACGTCACAAGGACACCTACCTTCTTGTTGATGGCCCAGATCTTGTCCCACTCCATGAAGACCACGGAGCGGCTGGAGCCCTGCGCCTGGATGAACTGCCTCAGGCCTTCCACCGTCATGCCGCGCCGCAATACTCCCCGGACCGTAGGCATTCGCGGGTCATCCCTGTAATATTTACAAGGAAGAAATATTAGTTAATATACCAAACAATACATCCACACGTCATGCCGGCCTAGGATACGCGCCACGGTATAATCTTTTCGTCGATTTCAGACGACAAAGTTATGGGCTTATCGTACAAAATCGTTAAAATGCCTCGATAAAAGTTTATCGTGGCGCGCATCGTAGGCCTACAGGTCACAAGGTATTGAACGACCACAGGTTAAGTTGTAAGGTGTCAAGGCGGTTTGAGGTGATAGACGAGTATCGTAGCTATTTAGCACCCATGTATAATGGAAATATTCTTTAGATACATTTCTCGAAAACAGGTATACAAGATAGAGAGAATAGAATTGAAAGTAAATATGAATTGTCACTTACCATCCATCTACGAGGCCTTGCTCTACAAACCAGGTCAACTTCCTCTTTGACAATACTGTGTTTGTCATACTTAATCTGAAAAGAAAAAAAATATATTCTTAAGATTACTACCGTGTTCAGTCGCATCAACAAATCAATAGTGCGACTGACTAGCAAGGTCATGTTATCGATATTTCGGCAACACTATCTCAATCTAAAGTTATGTTCCCGCCTGCTATACTCCAAGATGTATGACTTCCTCAAGCCCAGCACATGAATGTTAAACTATCGAAATGTCGGCAACACTGTCGCTATAAACTTATGTTCACACCTGCTGTACTCCCAGATGTATGGTTTTCTCAATCCCAGTGCGTCGATGAACCAGTAGAACTGCGGGTCTCTGTCATGGTACTCCATGGTCCGAAGTACGTGCGTCACTCCCTCGATAGCGTCTACGATTGGGCACGCGAAATCGTATGTGGGGTACACTCTGAAATAAAAAAAAAACATTTTAGATAAGTAATTTATGGAAAATGTTTCAGAAATTTTAAGAAAAGCACTACCAAAATAAAAATAAACTCTATGGCTGAAAAATACATTTTATACAAAAGTCTGATTAAAACTCGAGAACGGCTGGGCCGATTGAGCTGATTTTGGTTTTAAAATGTTTGTCGTAGTCCAGGGTAGGTCTAAACGGTGAGCAAATACGCGCGCGATATTGTTTTTCTGTGACAGACAAAATTCCACGTGGGCGAAGCCGCGGGCGGAAAGCTAGTAAAAAATATTATCATGTAGGTATTTCATTTCATCAAATTACATAATATCGCTGACTCCGTGTAGGTTTGTTGTCGACACGACAAGAAGAAGATAGGTAATATATCATTTGATATACACTGATTGACACGACTCAGTGACTAAACGCGAGAGCGAACCCTGGATTTCAGTGGCGACACCTTGAAAACCCTCGACCACAAAGATCGAAAATTAATATAAAAACGATACTTTTAGTGGCTCATTAAAAACTGAAAAAATTAAGTCTTTTCTTTCGCCACTTCTTCTCAGCACCAGCCCATATGTTATCCCGAAGTGGTGGTAGGGCAAGCTATATTTTGGACGTTTATAAAGCGCCCTGGAAAGAGCTTATGTACTGAATAAACTATTTGATTTAACATTTATACAGGGTGTCCCACAATGGGTGAATCAAACTGATAGGGCAGGTAGCTCTACTAATGTCGTTCGTTTCAGCCAAATGACGTCCACTGCTGGACAAAGGCCTCCTCCAAGGCTTTCCACAATGCACGGTCCTGCGCTGCCCGCATCCAGGCTCTTCCCGCGACCTTTACGAGATCGTCGGTCCACCTAGTAGGAGGCCTGCCCACGCTACGTCTTCCAGCCCGTGGTCGCCACTCGAGAACTACTAATGTACTATCCCTAAAAATATGAAAAAAAATAAAGCGCATTAGGACACAAAAATTTTTTTTTTTAAAAAGTGAAAATAAATCAGCTTTGCCTAAGTATTTGGCTATAATTGCTGCGTTTGGAGTTTATTTGTACTTTTTTCTTACTAATATAGTACATGATCGCTTCGTTTAATCTGTAAACAAACTTTTGAAAATAATGACTAGATTTCGAGTTTAGAGCACATTATTTAAAAAAAATCCGAACTCAAAAACGTTTTTTCATATTTTTTAGGGATAGTACATTAGTAGAGCTACCTCCCCTAGCAGTTTGATTCACCCATTCTGGGACACCCTGTATACTCACTTGTACTGCGTCCCAGTCCTGGGATGGGGTTCCGGCTTGCAGCGGTAGATGGTGGGGTCCCGCAGGCAGCCGTTGGTGGACTGCATGTCGATCTTGGCTCGCACACAGCACTGCACACCCACTGCGCTCGCTTTCTTCATCTCCTCCCATAGCTGGAGGTTCTTTTCCACCGCTGGGAATATTGTCATCATCATCAGGTTTTTTAGGCTTAGACATTCAGGCTAATTTTCAATTTCGAGACAATAAGAGCATTTGCCAAAGGACCCAAGGAAAGGTGGGCTGATGATATAATGAGAGTAGCGGGAGAAAATTGGCTCAACCTAGCCCAGGACAGGAAGAAATGGAGCGGAATGGAGGAGGCTTTTGCCCATACAGGGGTGCCACAAGAGTGAAGACAAATGCTTCTAACTTAATATTTAAAATTGTAAAAATTGCGGAAATAAAAGCTTTTTTATTTTATTTTTAAGAGCATTTGCCTACATTTCTCACACTGATATCTCTTACGCATTAATCAATTAATCAATCAAAATCAAAAATATTTTAATCAGTTTAGCTTTAGACCAATAGTTTGGCACTTATGTATAGCTGTGTGGTTCTCAGTAGAATAGAATACTCCCATACTTGTAGATGTCGTAAAAGGCGACTAAGGGACAAATATGCAAACATCAGGCCTCCCCAACCCTGGTCATCATGGGGAAGGTAGTCATTACATAACAGGTCAGGTCAAAAACAATAATACAATAATGCAGCATTGTAAGAATTTTTCTGTCGCTCATTGCTGCTTCAATACAAATTATATTAACTTACAGATACAGTCCCATTGTCCAAATGAAAGAAAATAAAAGTTAATTTAAAGTTACTAGCATTTACATTAAACTAAAACACTTAAAAATACTAAGACTTGTGTCTTACTATTTTAGTTGAAATGGAACACGAAAGTTTAAAATCTTATACAGTGAAATGAAACTAAAATCACTCACAGTTATTCTTATTCCTGCTATCAATCTTCTGTTCCCTCTCCGACTTCATTTGCTCTGCTGGTGTGTCGTCTACAAACGCTTTTCCCTCCTTGATGAGCTTCTCACAGTATTCCAGCATCAGGTCAAAGTACTGGGAGGTGTGCGTGAACAGGTCTGGCTTGATCTCCAACATCTCTACGTCTTCTAAGATCACCTGGAAGGAAAAGAAACTATGTGAACAAGTATCCTTGTATACCTATTAAAATATTGGAGAAACATTTACAAGAGATTTTTTTTGGGAACAAGATGCAAACAACCAACTACATCCTACTAATATTATAATGCAAAAGTTTGTGTGGATATTTGTTACTCTTTCACGCAAAAACTACTAAACGGATTTTGATGAAACTTTACAGTATTATTTATTTATAACCCAAAATAAAATATAGGCTATAATTTAGGACGATCTGTGACAAACTAAATTTCACGCGGGCACGGCGGGTGAAGCCGCGGGCAAAAGCTAGTGGCAAATAAATACATCTATCACAGTGGTCAAGTTGACATTTCAAAGCTCTTACACATTCTTTTCCAACAAAAATACCTCAAGTAATCTGTTTCAAGTAGTTATTGAAAATTGCCTGTGTTATAATGGAAATTGGACATAAAGGCAGCTTGACAAAACATTGATTTAATGGATGGATAGTAGAATGAAGCCACATGAAAGTTATTGCATTTTCTAATAACTTCTGTAAATTATCTTAAATCAAATTATGTAGGAAAGAAAAAAATACTGATATAGATTATAATTAACACAATGGTCTTATGTTTTACCTTCTCAAAGTCAGCATTTTCCTTGGCTGGATTAGTATCATCAAACCTCATGACTAGTTTCCCTTGGAATGCCTGCTGATAATATTGGTTTAGCAACGCGGCTTTGGCATGTCCAATGTGAAGGTACCTGCAAAAAAATAAGCAACACATTAAAAACTGCTTCATATTACANATATATATTGAGATTTGATCAAGAAATAGGTTTTTACAGCGATTTGAATTAAAATGGACATAAAATCCTAATAAGTGTCTAATTAATTGTTTTTAGAGGGCAACATTATTAATAAAATAACAAGTCAAATTGAAGAGAAAATATGTCATTGCATGCACATTATTGCACAGGAACCCAAGCGGAAGCTTTTGGTTTAGTAATAGGAGAAGGGACAAATACGCGAATATTCCGTTACGCGAGTGTTCCGGTTCAGTGGAGTGCGGACCAATTAATTTCTCCATTTGCTTCTGGAAATCAAAGAGGGTCGTGCTCCTACAATAGGAACTAAATTCCCTGATAAATGATTATAAGCACTTACTTGTGAATCTTATCAATCATAACATTCCCGTAGTTAATGAACGTGGCATTCTCTCCTTCCTTCAGACTCTTAGCATCGGCCTGGTCGATCAGCAACCTTGGTGAGACCCACACGGTTTTGTTGCCTACGTCTGGGTTCTTGGGATGAAGAGGCACGGTCAGGTTTGAGTCGGAAGAAACGCCCTTGAGGTTCACTGGCACGGTGCTTGTTTCTAACGCTGTGTAGCGGGGCGCGATTGGGTCTATGACCTGTAATGAAGAAAAACTTTGATAATTCTGAATTGCGTAGCATTCGTCAGGTCACGACTGCTAGTTTGGACGTTTAAGATCGATTATTTCACAAAAAAATTCAATGAAAGAGCGTATGTAGCGCACACCGAGCAACTGTTGTAGTATGACGTCACAATAGAAATAAGCGATATTGAATATCGCTTACAGTTTGAAGTTAGACATGCGTGGAATGCGATATCATATTGCATCCCACGCATGTCTGACTTCAAACCAAACTGTATGGTCATTTACACACCTATGCCGCGGCGCTGCATTAGCATTTCTTGGATTTGTATGGGGTCTTACATGGGCCATGGCGGCTCGCCTTATCCCGTTACGCGGGGTCCGCTTTCCCTATCATTCGCCGCCGTTTTTTTTATTTGATTCTATCTTGAACGTCGTGTTCATGGAGTACTTTCATGTGATTTTGGACATTCGTCAACCAGGTGGTTTGGGTGGTGGTTTCCTCCTTCTACAGACTATGAAACGTATGTTAGGGTCTTAACGAATATTAGTATAAATAAAATAGTGGACTGTATTAAAAGAAGTAATTAACGTGGGAATTAGTAGGAAATTAACGCGGCAATCGTCTCAAGGCGAGTTTGTAAGCCGAGCGCTGCCGATGATGACGCTGTGGGTCCCGAGGTGACGTTAGTCATCGTACGCCGCTCGCACGTCTCCCGCGCGTTGTTGGCTTCCCAACACGTATACCTATATGCCGCAATACTCCCCGCACTGTGGGCAGGCGGGGCGTCCCTGTGACGTCACAAGGACACCTACCTTCTTGTTGATGGCCCAGATCTTGTCCCACTCCATGAAGACCACGGAGCGACTGGAGCCCTGCGCCTGGATGAACTGCCTCAGGCCTTCCACCGTCATGCCGCGACGTAATACTCCCCGGACCGTAGGCATTCGCGGGTCGTCCCTGTAATATTTACAAGGGACGGGAAATTAGTTAAACACACCATTGATAAACTTTTATAAAGGCAATTAATCGATTTTACGCGATAAACCCATACATTTGACGCCTAAAATCATGGAGAGAATAAGATTGCAAAAATATTGAAAATATAAACTGTTACTTACCATCCATCTACGAGGCCTTGCTCTACAAACCAGGTCAACTTCCTCTTTGACAATACTGTGTTTGTCATACTTAATCTGTAAAGAAAATAAAATAGTAAAATTAAATATTCTTAACATTACTACCGCCTTCTACCGCGTCGACAAATTGACAGCGTGACTTTATCACGTAACTACCCGATACACGAACCGTGAAGGGATCGGACTGACCGACTTCGAGGAACTCGGGTTTGAACCCCGCCGCTAATGCTCAATTATTATGGTGAGCGCACTCATGACGAGCATATTGAGCTTAATACGAGAGGCTAACGGGACTGTTAAAATTAAGCCTATTGCCCGTCTTACCTGCTGTACTCCCAAATGTATGGTTTTCTCAGTCCCAGCGCGTCGATGAACCAGTAGAACTGCGGGTCTCGGTCGTGGTACTCCATGGTCCGAAGCACGTGCGTCACTCCCTCGATAGCGTCTACGATTGGGCACGCGAAATCGTATGTGGGGTACACTCTGGAAAAGAACATTTTGGGTTAGTAATTTTTGGAAAATGTCATGGAAGTTATTTAGAAAAGTTATAGAAAAATATGTGGCTCTGTACCGAAATGATGATAAAACCTTAATGACTGAAATATACAAAAGCACCTACCACCTAACAAAACGAAATTGGCATGTCTTTCATTTCATCTAATTATCTTTTAATGTACCTACACTCATTGACATGATTGGGCTCTCTTGGGGACAAAGCGCGAGAGAGCGAACCCTGGATCTCCGAACGAACAAAGATCGAAAATTAATGTAAATAAGACGATTCTATTAGACAGCCACTAGACTCTTTAAAAACTGAAAAACTTTGTTACTTTATTTTTTGGATCCTCCATCTCAAAAGGTCAACCTCTGTCTCACTAGATATAATCATAGCTGGGCATTAACTCGTTAATCCGTTAATCGTTAATTAACGAAGTTAACATTTCTATTAACGGATTAACTTTTAAGTTAACTTTAAAAAATGTTAACGGACTCGTTAACTTCCGTTAAATTATCCTAAGTCCGTTAATCGTTAATCCAGTACCTACTATTTACCAAAAAGATACAGCAGGCACGCTGAAAAACACTAGAAAATCGCGTTCTGACAAGTATGTTCGGGCTTCCAGAACTTTCAGAACCCAAAACAACAGTATTTGTAACCAGATTAAGCTGAAATTTGGTATACTTATGTAAGTACGATGACAATGCAATGTTATGGTACCCTTGAGCTGGTCTGATGATGGAGTCATGAGGAGGTCATAGAAACTCTTAAATGAAACGGCGGCATCGCATCGAATTTGGGTTCGTTGGATTTGTCTTTTTGAGCACTTTCTAGTAGGTACTCGTACTAACTTATCGAGTTTGGGTTTGCTGGATTTGTCTTTTCGAGCACTTTGGTGCTAAATTGTATTGTAATTGAACCAAGGCTCTGAGATTGAGATTTTCGTTTTATTATCATGTGTTAACGGTTTAACGATTAACGAAGTTAACTATTTGATTAACGGTGCCCAGCTATGGATATAATATACTCACTTGTACTGCGTGCCAGTCCTGGGATGGGGTTCCGGCTTGCAGCGGTAGATGGTGGGGTCCCGCAGGCAGCCGTTGGTGGACTGCATGTCAATCTTGGCTCGCACACAGCACTGCACACCCACTGGGCTCGCTTTCTTCATCTCCTCCCATAGCTGGAGGTTCTTTTCCACCGCTGGGAATATTATCATCACTATTAATATTTTCTTCTTAAAGATTCTCGGAACGCAAGCAGTTATCTGTATTAAAATGTTTAGCTGTGTGGTTCCAGTAGAATAGAAAAAGACCACTTACACCCATGTTGTAAAAGGCAAGGAGACAAATATGCGAACATCAGGTCTCCTGAACCACTGGGCCTCAAAAGTAACAATACCAGAGATATTTTTACTGTCACCTTTTAAATTCCACTTTAAAAAACTTGTCAAATAAGACTATCTTCCTATTACAAATTAAATTCAAGATTAGATTGTTATCTTAGCGCGTTTGACACACTATGCCGCGGCGGAAGCAGCATGCTTGCACTAGCTTCCCTTGGTTAGTGTATAAACAACCTCACTCAAGTTCTGTGAAATAAGACAAAAAAATGACTTACAGTTATTCTTATTCCTGCTATCAATCTTCTGTTCCCTCTCCGACTTCATTTGCTCTGCTGGTGTGTCGTCTACGAACGCCTTGCCCTCCTTGATGAGCTTCTCACAGTATTCAAGCATCAGGTCGAAGTACTGGGAGGTGTGTGTGAACAGGTCTGGCTTGATCTCCAACATCTCTACGTCTTCTAAGATCACCTGGAAGGAAAAGAAACTATGTGAACAAGTATCCTTGTATACCTATTAAAATATTGTATATTACAAGAGATTTTTTTTGGGAACAAGATGCAAACAACAAACTACATGGCAAATAAATACATCTATCACAGTGGTCAAGTTGACATTTCAAAGCTCTTACACATTCTTTTCCAACAAAAATACCTCAAGTAATCTGTTTCAACTTTCAAGTAGTCATTGAAAATTGCCTGTGTTAATGGGACATACAGGCAGCTAGATGTGACTTGTCAATTTATTATTATAGCATTCTTTGAAACATGGGACACTTACATGGAATACTAAAGGTATTGAATTCTGTGATAACTATAACTCTTCTATTAATGGTCTTAACTCAAAATCTGTAGGAAAGAAAAACAATAGTGAGGTAGATTATGTTATTTTATAGATTTACCTTCTCAAAGTCAGCATTTTCCTTGGCTGGATTAGTATCATCAAACCTCATGACTAGTTTCCCTTGGAATGCCTGCTGATAATATTGGTTTAGCAACGCGGCTTTGGCATGTCCAATGTGAAGGTACCTGCAAAAAAATAAGCAACACATTAAAAACTGCTTGATATTACAAGTTATTAAATGCATTTGACAGCTCATTCTATGCATATCCCATACTTTATTCATATATTGCTTAGAGTATAAACCTGCTAAATCTTTATTAAATACTGACACTGGTTTATTTACACTCTAACCCAAGAATATCAAAACGTTCAAGCACACTGTTCATAATAAACACAGCTTTTTAATTCTGATACATCTAATTTGCTTTCTTGTGATAGATTCACCTATTTTGTTTCAGTAACATAATGCTACACAGCAAATAAAAATAATAATAAATGACTAAAGTGAAGACATACCCAGAAGCTTCGGGTGGGAATCGTACAACAACTTTTCCCATCTCAGCATGAGGAAGTTCAACGAACTTGCCTTCCTGTTGTCTGCCAGAACTTGCCTCTTTGTTTGCTGGTGGAGACCTCCTATAATACATCAATAGACACAAATGTAGTCCAAAATTTTGTTATAGTATCAGCTGTAAGATATTGAACTTGTTGCACAATTCATAGAATACAAAATTGAATATCACAGAGTTGCATAATGTTATAGGAATTTACTCGGTAGTAATAATGATCAATAATATTGATTGTATGATGCAATATTATGCTCACCTAGATGAAGATTTGTTCAGACTCTCCAGTGCTTCGGAAGGCAGATCTTTCAAGGCTTTCAGGACTGGAGCCTGGGCCCCAATCAGCTTTAGCCAGCGGCTTACATTGCTGTATTGATTTGTTTTTGATACCTCTTTGAATCGGCCAGAAACTGCAAATAAAAGTTGAATTGATGGTTTAATAAATTACAGAGAAACTTACTTCAGTATAGGTAATTTAGTTAATGTTATTATTGTAAGATAAGGGTAGCAGTTTTTAGATCTCTATGTAGGTAATAAATAGCTTGTAAAAAGCAGATAAAAAACCACACTTACAAGATAGTGACAAAAATTATAGACCATAAAGTAAAAGTTAAAGGTGATTATTATTTACGTACCATGTAAAGCTGCAAACACTGCCAAGTCAGAGACAGTCAGTGACTCTCCCACCAGATAAGTCAAAGGACCTAGGGTTTTGTCCAAGTACTCAATAGACTTAGGGATCTCATCCTCCAAAGTGAGACTAAACGTTAGCCAGTGGTTCATTGTCACCGCCTGAAGACCATCAGCTTTCTTGACATAAGCATTTACGAGTATTCTTATCAAATCGTTGCTGGTCCCGTATGGCATCGGCTTAGCTTTGGGAAGGGTTACCGTAGAGTCATTACCCCAAACTACTTCTATGGTTTGTCCAGAACTCCTGAACAGCTCCACCGCCAGTAAACCCCCTGAAAATAAGTGAGAATTTCTATTTTCAGACCAATCCCAAAATATGATGCAATGTAACATTTTTGAAAACAGTGTATATACCTAATGGTGGGTTTGATTTATTACAAACGACTTTCATTGTTGCACGTAATTAAGAAAGCCGGTAATTAATATTTTATCAATTTTTAAAAAATACACGTTCGCTGATGGAGCACACCACACACCACAGATTATCTGTGCCACACACGAGTAAAAGAAATGTCAATCAAAAATGACAGACGACTGACAACTTGACTACAGGGATGTACATCGACATCCAAAGGAATTGAAACATTAATCGATAAATATACATTTACGATTAAACTTTACAGTGGTTGATCATAAAATCATTCGTCATAAGCCCGATATTTTGAAATTAATTTTGTGAAAATTCACTTTTTTGTATTAGTAGATAGGATAGAAGATAGTTTGTAAAGATTCATCAATTAAGCGACGAGAGCTTTAATTTAAAATGCTTGATTTACTGGGACTATAGTACAATTTCTACTCGTTTAGATTTTTTGTTTGCTGATGGGTAAACATAAATGGCTCTAGCTAGAGTATTTCTACCACATGCCTTCTATATCGGATGGATAAAAGAAACACAATTCGTTACGACCACACAATAAAGCCGAGTAATAGTATCAATTTTTTTTTGAAGGAACGCGCCTTGGTAGCTTGAAAAGCTTTTCCAGCTTCACCGGGCAGAGTGGCGAGTACAGAAGGTACTCTAGCCGTTTGACGATCGTCGGTCGCAGACCGACGTTCGCGATCGGGCCGTATTGAGTGCATAAGGCGCCCGATCAGTGGCGNCCCCCCTCCCCCTGCCACCACAGGGGGGGCTCCCGATGTCTACCGACGGAAATCCACTCAGGAGCACCCAAAGAACCACTGTTGCAAAAATGAGCCTTCTATACCAAAGTGGAGGGGTTCTTGCACTAAATTCCCTACTATATCAATAGTTCAATAATTTATTCAATTAGTTTGCTTCAATTACTATGCTTTAATAATTACATCCCTAGTTTGAATGTTGAATGATTTTTTTTCCTTGCAACCTTAAACGTGTAAAAAAAATAATTTTCAGAACCATTTTCTCCAATAAAAATATTTTTTATAAAGAAAATTATAATATAATTAAGTCATGAAAAAACCTGAAAATAGCGTGATTATTTTAATATAAATTAAACTTCCATATTCATAGCGCAATTTTTTTTATAATGGTAACAACAAACTTTGTTACTGTCAAACAGGAAATCAATGAAATTTGGAAAATGTTGGAAAATGCCTGGGAAATTATGAAACAATGTTAACGCTGACCGAATTAAACAAACTAAAATGACACTGTGAAACGATAACTTTACAAACAGAGCTTTAAGTTTTGTAGTTTTTCTACTCATGATAATAGTAAGTTACAAACGATTTATTTCATTTTAGCACTTGCTGTTTACGTAAATGTTTTTTTTTTAATGTAAAGAGTTAAAGTATTATAATACATACAAATTGTCTACTTTCAGACCGCAAAGTACAATATTTATTGATGGAAAAGTAGCGCGCTAACGTACTAATGAGGATGAAACGGCAAAATGTTCGTACATTATCGCTGGTGGTGTGCACGTTCACGTATCTGCTGATCGGCGCCGCCGTCTTCGACGCGCTGGAGTCCGAAACTGAAAGTAAACGTTGGGAGGTTTTATCAGGTTTGTAGACATAGTCGTACCTACATATCAAGATAGAAACACTGCGTCTTACCTACAGTTGTAATGAGCGCGCCGTTTGCATAAAACCTACTACTTGTACCTCATAGATTTTATTTTCAAGCCCATGCTAATATGTCTGTAGAACTTATAATCTAACTTACAAAGACTTACTACTTACACACAAAATGACTTAAGATGAATAAAATTGTTACTCAAAAAATATTATCTATTTAATCATTTGACCTCTTCCACCAAGCCGGAATGTCTTATATTCATTTACAAAATAATTTTCCTACTTGAGATTAAACTGCAAACAACTTTAACTAATTCAGATCGAAATTCTGTAATTAATTTATTACTGTTAACAATTTTCAGACATGAAAAATGGCCTAGTCCGTAAATACAATATTACAGCAGAAGACTACCATATGATAGAGATAGTAATATTAGAGAACAAGCCACACAAAGCCGGTCCACAATGGAAGTTTGCTGGAGCTTTTTATTTTGCAACAGTCGTTTTGGCCATGATTGGTTACGGGCATTCCACTCCAGTAACGGTTGGTGGAAAAGCGTTCTGCATGGCATATGCAATGGTAAGTAAATGTTATAATATGATGGGCATGAATGTGCATTCCCATAGTCTCACGTTAGCCAGTCCGACACCGACCACCATTAAACTTTTGCCATCTTAAACTTCACCAAAATATATAATTGGGAAGATATAATTTGTGACTTAATTGATTTATATGCCTGATAAAGTTATTGTGATTTCAGGTTGGCATTCCACTAGGGCTGGTCATGTTCCAAAGTATTGGCGAACGGTTGAACAAATTCGCTTCGGTAGTCATCCGTCGCGCCAAATGCTACCTCCGCTGCAGCACCACAGAAGCTACCGAGATGAACCTCATGTTCGCTACAGGCATGCTGTCTTCCATCATCATTACCACTGGTGAGGGTTTATTATTAATTAGAAAAACTTGACATGAGAGTAGAGATAATAATAATTATGGATTCTTCCTTGGTTGTAGAATTAAGTTGGGTCTCAAGGTCCTTAGTCGAAGGACCACTGTAGATTGTGATAACTTCATTTAAATATTTTTGCTCACAGGAGCGGCGGTATTCTCAAGATATGAGGGCTGGAGTTATTTTGACAGCTTTTACTACTGCTTTGTGACCCTGACGACGATTGGTTTTGGAGATTATGTTGCGCTTCAGGTATTCATTAGTCTAACTGAAATCTATTTTACTATTCTTAGGCAATATTTTATAGCTTAAATTTCAATGAAAACCAACTTACTATAGAAAACTGTATGATGAATCAAAGTATGCAATCAGGGTTATAGTTTGTAATTTATTTTTGTTTTATTTACAGAATGATCAAGCTTTAACCAGTAAGCCCGGTTATGTTGCCCTCAGTCTGGTATTCATACTTTTTGGACTAGCAGTAGTTGCTGCCAGCATCAACTTACTTGTTCTGCGTTTCATGACTATGTGAGTATCATATTACATAGACACTAATCCATAATAAAAAAAAGTTGAATTTAAACGTACATTTAAATTCTTTATTTGATGTGAATAAAAAACTGTTGCACTGTATTTAATTTACTATTAGCATAGTATCAAGGTTGCATTAATTAATTTCGTTAGGTAATAACATTTTATTCTTATTTATTTTATAGGCAAGCAGAAGAAAACGCTCGAGATGAGGAGAAAGACGGCTCGAGAACGCTGTTGCCCATCGATGGGCATGTGCTTGCGGGCCGCCAGCGTTCGCACGACGATCAAGCTTCGGTATGATCCTACTTTTATTACTCAGTAAAAATTTTGGAAACTTTTTACAATGTCAAAAATTACATTTACACTACTACATAATTCAAATTTAGAATATGACGACAATGGTCGAGTTGATGGTTGATGATGACACCTACCTACCTAGTAGTTGTTTTAAATGCCAACAGATGGCGCCATAAGGTTTTTGTCAGATTCCTGTACCGCGGTGTCCAGATTTTTTTTTCTTTCTTGACCTCCCTCGGGTCGCTCAGCTTCGACATCGCTTCTCGGCCTTTTGGCTAAGATCAAAGTGTAGTATCTGTTCTTTTCAGCTTAATATCTGAAAGTTCCCTCATTGAGGGACCAGTATATTAAACTGATTTTTGTCCTATGAGAGGATGTTCGGAGCTCGCTCCACTCCTCTCGCGGGTCGGCCCGGCATTGCAGTGCCGCCGGGATCGGCCCACACAAAACCCTATATTCAAGCCGACAAGTAGCTAGCTAAGTGTGTTGCACAATTTGAAATTCATTTATGTATGGTATTCATCTTCATCATCCACTAACATGGTCCTCCGCCATGATGATAAATCCATATTGATCGATTGGTAGAGGCCTGACTGAATCCAGCTCTATGAGGTTGTCAGTCTACGTAGGTGGACGTCCCACGCTGCGCTTCCCGGTCCTATTTCATTTCATAAAATGTCAATGTTTTATTGTCAACAATCGGTGGTAACTTTTTATATTTCTTTGAAAGATAGAGGTAACGGAATATGTATACCGTAGGCGCGCGAGTTCATGTCCATCCTGAGGAATGCGGTAGTGCTGTTACCTAACAATTATGCTAATGTCGATATCGACAATTATTACCAATTAAGTAGGTCAACCTTATCTACTTATTCCATATTTTTTGCAACTTATAAGTAAGTAAGGCCCCGATGGACATGAACTCGCGCGCCTACTGTAGAAGCTGATTAGCCATATCTATCATTGTTCCAGGTGTGTTCGTGCAACTGCCTCGGCAATAAGCAGTGCGAGGGCGGCGCTCTGCTATCGGCGCCTCGCGCGTCACGTCGGGCCTCACGCGCATCGCTCTCGGTCGATCTCATCGAGCGGGCATCCGTGTAATGTTATGATTTATGATGAACAATGTGCCAATATGGTACCAAGAAATACATACATGAATAAATTTATGATGATGAACAATGTGCCAATATGGTGCCAACAAATAATACATACAGGGTGTGAGGGATGGTTTGCAAAAACTTGCCGGCTATGCCAATGTTGCAGTTTTGAAACTCGGGTTCGATGTCAATTTTCTTTTGATACAGACGATAGCACTTCAGACTACAAGTATACCTACATATTTGTTGCAAAAAGATGTCGCAGTGTTTGGCTTTACGTGCCGTCGTCTGTTATAAAAACTTAATGCCATTTCTGGTTAGCTGGAAGAGAATGCCACATGGCATTAAGCTCGCCTGTTGTACCACTGTTTTTTTATGTGTGCAATAAAGATTTTTATTAAATAAATGCCTTAAGGAATAGGCTAGTTGCCTAAAAAAATTTTTTTAGNACTTTTTTTTAATTTTTCAGAACCTCATAACTTGTGAACGGGCAACTTTGGAAGCGCGCTGATAGCGTAGGTTTACAGTCAACAAGCCATATAACAAGGCTCAAGTAGTTTCAAAGCAAGATCTGTCAAAGCTTAGTCGAAATCGACCACTTTATGTTTCATTCCA